GTAATGTTCGAAACCATGTAGTAAAGGGGGTATCCCCTTTACTACATGGTCCGCTGGGATAATCCCGTTGAGCATAAGCCACGTTATGTTAGTTCTATCGCTGAAAGCAATTGGACCCCACTTCGAAACAGGGCAAAACTACACAGTTTTTACTTCTCCCTCAAATCCAACAATCATTTACAATCCATATTATTGCGACTTATTTTATACTGTTAGTGCGAACTTTCTCGATAACCCTAGCACTCCAATACTCTCGATTCGCTCCTAGAAACATGAAAACTTCTAGAGTCTCAGATGTCATACGTTGCCGCAAAGGCGAGTACACCAACTTCGCCCTGGAGAACATTCTCTCTACGATATTCGACGTAGGGAGAACACAACGGAGGTCTTCGTATCCCATTACCACTTGGTCCGACAACTTGGCACGCTACGAACGCAGGATGTCCATCGCAAGACTTGCACTAGCCTCAGAGCGCTGCCTCGCAGGGGAAATCACCGTTGCGATTTCAAACCCAGACAGAGCCGAACGCTCGACCTCCGTCAACTTGCCAACAGCACCTTTGATGACTTTGATCACTGCTGTCTCAAAGTCTGGATGCTTCACGATAGCAGCACGCGGGCCGAGGTGGTGGGACATCGAGGGAAACTTCTCACACAACGCATCCATGAGCACACGGGCCTCACTCAGCGTCAAGTCGTCGCGTTGAAAGGCAAGCGTAAAGCCTTGCATGATATCCAATGCAGTCCGGAGCGAGTCCTTGGCATAGATCTCAACAGGCGCTGGGAAGAACTCGCGCAAGTCCATTTTCGCCGCCAAGTGGTCCTTGATTTCGAAGAAGCGGGCCACCATAGCGTAGGTTGAGCTCCATCTTGAATCGTTCCTCAGTTTGGGGGCCAACGGGGTCAACAAACGCAACGCACTTCGATTTTTCACGCTGTGCGCTCGCTGCATGACAGTGGATACGGTCCAAGAGGCTCTTGTGCTCCTCCATCATACGCTGAACGGCGAAATTGAAGCGGAGGCTCACGCAACCAACGAGGGGAACGTTGAGTAGACCCGCCATCCGCTGGTTCACGGAGCAGTTGTCGCCAATGACGAACGTGATAACATCCAACGTCTTGGAGTAGAGTTCCAATGTCGCTTCGATAAACGCAACTTGTTGAGCAGCCGAGTGATCGCCTTTGTCCAACATGGGTGCAAATGCCAGCATGGGTGTTTTCACAACGTCATCAAGACAGAACGACGTCATGATGCAGCAATACGAGGTTCCACCGGCAGACCAGTCGTCGAGTACGATGCCAAAGTGTACAGGGAGTTGCTGCTGGATTTGTGCTTTCACAGCAAAACAAACGTCGTTCATTGTCGGGCGTAGCGTTGATGCTGTGGTTGCTTGGAGGCCGACGTACTTACGAAAGGTTTCGTCTTCGACCGTGGAGAAGGGAAGGTGCTTGGTCACAACAAGGTCCATCCATCGGAACAGGGCCTTTGACGTATCCGAGACGAATGTTGCGACTGGCATCACCGGCGTCGACCCACGGAGAGCGTCGGAGTGCACCGTGGGGTAGTCCGGATGGCGTGCCATAAGGTGGCTCATCAAGTTGGTGAACCCTTTGCCTTGTTGTTGCGCGACATGTTTGGTGCAGAGGCGACACTCAAATCGCTTAGTATTGTCCAGAAGAACTTGACATAGGTAGCGGAGGTAGTTGGTGGAAGCATGTCGAATTGATCAAAATGGCTGGTAGTATGAGGCACGATGTGTATGGCCAAGGGAATAATTGGTGAGGAATGCCCTACATATGGGAGCCAATCAAACATTATTTCCCCCCCTAGGGAAATTATATATGACAAAACAATACCCCATATTAGGGGAACTATGGCCCATAGGTTTTCCCTACATAACGGAGGGACTATCTCTGGGTTCAGTACTATGCTGACCAGCAAATATTCCAGTAAAAGTCACACAGATTTGATGGACTTGTACTGGTTTTGCTGGAGTCAGTATCCGATTATAGTGGCCGGATAGAGATATCGGTGCATATACACGGAGCAGCGAAGCCTCAGGGTTGGTGATGGCATAGGTCGAGGTGCAGTTGTGGCGGCCCTGGTACGGTATGTATGTCGCAGTGAATAGCTTATGACTTGTGGTGATGACTCTTGCAGCGTAGGTCAGTTGCGGTCGAGCAGCCGTGATAAGTTTACTGTTAGGCGGCAGCATCGACCGCAGGCGAATGCGGCCGGTTGCTTGTTTGCGCCGGTCCGAGGCCGATCCTGCCATAGTTGGCGGTATCTGTCTTGCGCTGGTCTAGGTTGCATGGCTTGCCGCGTTGGTGAGAGTCGTGCGGCAGTCGGTGGGTATGTCTTCGCGGCTGGTAGCCGTGTTGTTAATGTTGCAGAACCCATGTCATCGACTACAACTCGACGGGACCCTCGCCATTGACTGATGCATTACCAAGGTCAATAGCGAGGGTGCTATCGAGCTGGCAGATGCCTATTATGTCTGTATATCACCGTACTCCGTTTACTAGTTCACGAGAAACTATAGTTGATGCCATTCCTGGTGATAAGGATAACTTTGTACAGTGCTGTACATATGCATGCATGTTGCGCATCATTGCGTGCCATTCCTGGAGATAAGCATACCTCATAGTCGAAATTAACGCGGGTTTCCACTCAGGCTGGTCGAATGATGGTGAATTTCTGGCTGGAGTTGGGCTTATTGCGGTGCGAATTATCCTGAATTATGAGTCCATTACAATACTGGAGGTTGTTATCCGAACACTATGCGTATATTGGTACACTACCGACTGTAACACAGCGGCGTATTTTAATTGCAATGGTGAGAATATTCGCATTGTTTGATCAACTGTCGGTACTAGTAAAGATTATTGATAGGTGGTGAGAAATGTGGAGAGATATCCGAAACGTTATCCGGTATTCCAGTAACTAAATACTACTATAACTAGTCTTAGTATATATAAGATCCACGCGGCAGCCGACTTCCTCAAGGACAGTGCGCATGGGTCAAGTGTCATCTCACTCCACGAAGCCATGTACGTTCAAAGCCCCATCCTCTCGACATGTCACCAGCATGCATGTCGTGTCTCCATGTCTTCTCGTGACAACAACGTGTGGACCTGTAGTCGACTACGAGGAGTTCTCGGTCGCATGGCTCGCGTTCAAGGTCGGTTGTCATCTCGACGTCTCTCTCACGAACGAGTGGCATAGGGGGAAATGTCCAAAGTGGGTAGTCGAAACCGTCCTGTGGCGAGCAAGACAGGGTTGGCGTCGTCCAAGCTCTTGCGGTCTTTGTATAGCGGTACGTTTACAGCGACTTGCCCTTTCCCCACCATACGCGATCATTACATCATCGTGCCGTTCTTGAGTAGGAACCTTCCTCGACGAACTCACTCAGCATGCCGCCGATGGCGTTCCCCGCGAGCACTTTATCGTGCTCTTGGCGCAGCATTACCTGTTCGTCCTCCCGTCACAAACTACTCTCTCTACACGTCTCTCATATTCTATCTCATATAGCGGCAACACCGAAGACAAGCTCGGGTACATCTTCGCCATGTACCACGCCACGTATGGTCTTGACCGGTACGACAAGTCGTTACTAGTACCTTTGGACATGTTGTATCTCTGTCTTCGTAGGAACAACGCGGACGGTGGCGGTCCCATCATATCAAGCGTCGACGTCGAGTGTCTCCTCGAATACATGGCATCATACCATCCCGTTCCAGAGGTAAGTACTTGTCCATCCAGTCGGATGTCGATGAATATCACTTACTTTTGTTTCTCCTTGCCTTATTTCCTAGAACTAACTGTATAAATATATATAAATTATATTCCCTTTATGGATCATTTTGTATAATTATTGAGTTGGTTCTAATATATAATAACCCTGTTAGACACTCGTGGCCGTGTTTGATGACTGCCAGTTGACGAAAGAATCGCCGTTGACGCTGCCCATATTTATCCAGTGGGTGCGCCAGTCTCCGTCCCTCATGACCGTAAGTCTTACGTGACAAAAAGATAGTATATTTTCAACAGATATATATATCATTTTCAATATATATATATATCATGTCCAACACATATATATATATATCACTTCGAACACATATATATATCATTTCCAACACAAATACTGTATATGTGATTTCTGACCCAAGTATTTATCTTTTCTGATACGAATATGTCACTGCCAACACATACATCATGTCCAACGCATCTATATAATCATTCCCGATTGTATATATATATATATATATATTCCTTTTCAACATAAATATATCCTACCCGACAACATGTATATATCTTTCCAACAAATATATATATATATCCGTCGTCTGTTTTTCTTATGTCTTATGGAAAGCACGTAGACGATGGCCACGACGGTGCCCCCGCATGTGTCGACCAAAGCATCTCTGTCCGTGCACATTCCTGAAGCCAACTCTTCATATCTCCCCCTTCCTGCGTACGAAACATGATGTGATAATGTATATATTGTGCTTTCGAGTGAAATTTCAGTGGTTTCTCGTTATATAATTTAAATCGATTTGATTGGCTACTACAGAAGAGCTCAAAATTATTAGCCAATCAAAACCTTCTCAATGAAATTGAACCAATCAGATCGGTTGTGGATCGGTTCGATTGCATCCCCCCGACCCCAAATTTGTACTATCAAATCGACAATACCTTGGATTTGATATATTCGGTACAAATTTCCAGGCCCGGTCGAATCGAATCACGAATCATCGACGCTATTGGCTAATCCAATTTTGAATGGACTTGATTGGCTCTTAGTATATTCAACCCATCGTATTGTGCTTTTCAGTCAAATGTTGCCTCTATTTTCGGGGATTGATGGAATCGCCAAGTAATCGAGCAAAGAAGTGTGATTGGCTACAAAGAATGAAGGTTGCACTATGATTGGCTAAAAAGGTTGATTGTAGTCTCTTGCAGGCACAAAGATACCTCTTCAACTTAGTATTGTATGAAGTTTCAAAGGTCCGGCGATTGGTTGATTCAACCAACCAACACTAGTAGAACAAATCACAATCACTCTAGCGTGGTTGAATATTGCGTAGCAAACCACGCGAATTTTATAAATTTAGAGCGAATTCACAATATTGATATATATATATATATTGATTTTCCGTAGCGATCCGCTCAATATGAGTCCATCGATGGCATTTCACGGGGCAAGGCACCACCAGTCGTTCGACATTGTCGGCGGAGACAGCAGTGAAGAAGAAGAAGGTGATGCGAGCTTATCCAACTCGGATGAGAATGCCGTACGTACGCATTCAACATGATGCGTCTCGCTCATGAGGCTTGTAGGCCGACGACGACGTCGTTCCCCAGCGGCACTCGACCCGTCCGTCGCCGCCATCTGGACGACCGACGACCAAGCCGAGTACTGCCGAAAATGATACCTCGTCGCTACCACTAGACATGCGCCGCACGCCAGCAGCTGCCGCCGCCGCAGCTGATGTCCCCCCCTTAGACCCCAAAGCCCGTACGTACAATATATATATATATTGTGCCTTTTCCCCAAATTTGGACTAAATAGCACATCCATTTGACCCAATTTATGCTTGTACAAACTATACTATAACAAAGATTAGTATATACATATGGTTTTTTGCCCCGAGGGCTGGGTCGAGTGAAACGTACGTTTGGCAGAAATTCACGAGAGCGTGCTTTGAGGATTAGCTTTGATTTCAAGTCAATAGATTGGTCGCTATCTGCGACGATGTATTGTATCTGCGACGATGTGTTGGTGATGGGTTGTACTGTAGACGACGGCCCCGACACGAATAATGCTACTACTTTAACATCCAAGCCAAGCTCAAAACCCAAAGGGAACAGCGGTATTGGCAAGTTTGGACGGGCTGTGGGGGGCGGCATTCGAACGATTCTGCTGCATCCATCGGGCAAGACTCCTCCATCATCTTCTTCGAGTTCTGGGGACCGCCACCCGCCTCTTGCCCACGTGGACAACCACCATTACGTGGGCGGGTACCTGCACAAGGTGAGCGATGGCAAGTGGGCGAAACGCAACTGGCACGTTCGATGGTTTGTGCTCGATATGGACCGAGGCGTGTTGGCGTACTACAAGTCGAACCCGTCGTCGATTGTGCACTCGCCCCACGGCAGCGTTGCGTTTTACGACGACTTTGACCTGCATCACCACCACACGACTACTACTAGTAGTAGTAGTACTAGTACTACTAGTACGATATCGGACACGGGGGACGTGACAACGACTTCTCGGCGTCGGTACCACCACCGAGGAGGAGGAGGAGGGGGAGGGGGGGGGTCACATAAGCCACATCCGTGGTACCGGGGATGTATGGACTTGAACGAGTTTCACGTGTCCCTTCTATTTGACAAACAATATGGCCACAACGCCCCCAACAAGTATATTTTTCAAGTATCGAGTCTCGGCATGGGCGATGCTGCCGACGCCAAGCGTGGGTTCCAGTACAAAGTACGTACGTACGTTCGAACAATGTATATATATATATATATATATAGGTAGCGAGGTAGCTACCTACCCCCATGGGTGGTTGGATTTTGTGATATGTATATGGGTGTGTGTACATGGATTGATTATTGGTAAGGTGATGTATATATATATTTATATTTATATATATATGTATGTAGCTGTGCGCCAACTCGGAAGATGAGTTTGTACAGTGGACAAGTGCAATTGCCCAAGTGATCAACCGAAAGCACCTCCCGACAACCGCCCTACCGACGTCCGTTTCAGTTCAAGCGCCAAAAGGTATTGTGATATTCGCAATAAACATCCAAAATTCGCCTGGTTTGTCTAATATGGAAAATCATACTGGAGTCGTTTTGATTGGTTGAATATACAATTGTCGTTTCTGCAAGAGCCAATCAAATCCACTACTAGCGTCGATGATTCGTGATTCGATACGATGGGGTCTGGAAATTCGTATCGAATATACCACAATACTCTCTGGTTTTAATCGAGTGTCGGGTACTTGTGTTCTTGTCCAAATAGAGTGCCAAATTGAGGCCTATTGTGTATGGGTTCCATCAGGACTAGTACACTCGAGAACTTTTGATTTTTGTATTGGAGATATTCGGTATCCATTTCCAGACCCCGTTGAATCGAACGGCACCAATGTCTCCCATTGGTCAATCCGAAATTACTTGTCGCTGATTGGCTACAATATCATTTTGGATTTCGAATGGAAAAAGGGCGAAAGTGGATATTAGCCAATCAGAAGTCTCCGTCCGGTTTTGTGCTCGGTTGAATGAACCATGGAAAATGGGCAATTTGAAGAAAATCGACAATATATTGTGTGTATTCTTTTCATAATTTCCGCGGATGGTCAATCGCCAGACCTGCGAAATTGGATATAAAACCAAGTTTAAGGGCTATCTTTGTGACTCTACATTTGTGCTAGCAGCCAATCATCGTTCTCCAACCTTTATTCTGTTTATCCAATCAAATTGCTAATAGTTCGATTTCTTGGTGATTTCCACAATCCTCGATTATTCACAAATTTCGGCGAAAAGCACAATATCTGTCGTTTCGAGTGACTTTTCAAACTCCACATATAATATTTAGGACCCGTCTGGCAACCTGAAATATTACACTATTCAGGCCCAAAATGCCATATTGGGGTCGAATTCAACAAATCTGATCAAAATGGAAACATGTGCGTTGCTTGAAGAGAGATGTATAACCCAAATATAATAAATACTTGGGATATTTACTCGTTACAGAGGTCCAAACCGCCAATTTACAACATGGACCTTTTACCTCCATTTTGAAAAAATCATTTTTCGTTAATCCCATTATGCCAAAAAATCGAATATTATTTTGAAATCGTGGGCCCTGAATACTTTATTTGGGTGTAGAAACATTGCAGCAACAATTACATCGTCAAAAGCTGCACGACAGAGCCGCCGCCGCTGCCCTGGCGACTCCGCCTCCTGCCGCCACCTCCGACGATCATACGTCCAGTCAAGAACCCCCGATTACCCCACAAAGCTCGACCAAACGTCCGCCAAGACGCCACACGTTGCCTCCCACAGTTGTGACGCCGTCGTCTTCCGTCTGTGACAAGGTGTGGCGCCTGCAGCTGGTCGTGGACGGCCGGGTCCCGTGCCTCGTGGTCCTCTTCTGTGTCAACATGGCGAGTTTTGTGGGGCTAAACTACTTTGGGTTCCTCGTACAAGTACCGGTGATGGCCCTTGCAACATATTACTTTTTCCGAAATGTACCAACACGACAAGGCAAGTCGTCTATATATATATATATATATATGTGTGTTTTGTGGTGGTTCTTGTGGAAAACTGTATGTGGGGTGTGTGTGTGTGTGTGACCTGTTGTTATGTTGGGCGTATCGATCGATGGCAGCTATGCTTTGTAATAACATGACGTGTCGACCAAGTTGATTCAATATATATATATATATATATATATTGTGCTTTCAAGTGAATTTTCATTGTGGCGTGGTTTCTCGTTGGAATTTAAATCGATTGGATTGGCTACTTCAGAAGAGCTCAACATTATTAGCCAATCAAAACCTTCTCAATGAAATTCAACAACCAATCAGATCGATTGTGGATCGGCGCGATTCGATTGCACCCAAATTTTTGTATATCAAATCGACAATATTATGATTTGCTGAACTAGAGTGATTCCATAAATATCATCACCAACTCACATTTGTTGTAGTGATACACCACCGTGGACTATTGTTAACCGAACCAGACGGGCTGCTTCCATGTACAGCCACAGGCTCATGCTGTCTGCATCCTCCTCCTCCTGGTTCTCAAGTTGACGCGCTTGTCTTGGCTGGAGATGATGTGGATGAAGGCGGCGGCGATCGATTCCAAATGGACGATACCATGGATGCAGGCAATAGCAGTGGACCTCCATCATCTTTGTTTCAGTTTGACATGCTGTCCAGCCTGAACCAAAGCACAGACGACGACAAGGCCGAGCACGCGTGGTCCCGGCACGCGGCCGCTTGTACGTTTAACGTTCGCAGCAAAGAGTACAAGAAGAGCAAGAAAAAGGAGGTAGCTATTGTTGAATGTTCATCTATCTATGAAATGAACGGAGTTGTAGCCATCGCAAGCGGCGCTGTTCGAGTTTGTGGGCGTGGATGTGGTGCGGACGGATGGCAAGATCGACTGCATCGCCCAACATGTGAACGTGCCGCCCTCCGTGGGCAACTCGCGGCTCTTCATCTTGCATGCCCAGGTAGGTTTATATATATAGTATGCATTCGATAGACTTTCAAGTGGATATATATATATATAGATTGATAAATTATTCATTGTGTACATATATATATATACAGAAAACTTATTCATTCTATATGCTTTGAAGTGTACATATATATAGATAAATTATTCATTCTATATGCTTTGAAGTGTATATATATATATATACTGTATAATATGCATTCAAATGCAACAACGTCGTACAGAATTCTCACCATGTTGCGATTTACGTGGCCTTGTGTGTCGTCTTGATCGAACATGTATATCTACTTTGTATCTACTGTTTTGTATGTGATATGAATATATATATATATATAATACATATTGATGCCGTGTTCCATATTAGAATTAATATACGGTTTACTATGCTATGCCTACACGGTCGGTTACATGGATGCAATTTCTTAAAATTTGATCCCCCTTTGGAAAACTATGTTCATATATATATATATATGAATTGATGCCTAATATATCTGCCATGATCTTGTATAGATGCCGTTGTACGCACCTTCGTTGTTCACGTCAAGTTACGACGGTCCTGGCGCCAGTTTAATCATGTACTGGACCATCCCCGAGGCCGTGGAAGAGGTACGAAAACTATTATCACCCCAAGTCAATCTCAATGTTGATTCGGTTATTTAGGCGCTGCGAACGCCAGACTCGCCGGCGACGCACCTCCTCGCGCGCTTCCTCAATGCGTCCGACCCTTCCATCTTGGATCGGTTCAAAGTGATCGCGCAGGTCGTGAATGAGGCCGACTGCGGGGTCACGGGGTACACGAAGAAGCTGCTGACAAAGAACAACGGGACGCCCGTGCTCACGCGGCCGCAGCATCGCATGTACCACACGCCCGCCTACACCGAGGTGGACGTGGATGTGCATGTGTTTTCACTCGTCGCGCGCACGGGCATCCATGCCCTCGTGGGTACGTACTACGTACATATTGTCCTTTTTACCCTACATTTGGACTTGTTTAGCATTCGAAATCTCGTGGAAGCTTGTTTGTATACAACGATTAGTATACATGTGGTTTTGCCCAAAAGTTGGCAGACTTTTGTGCTCATTCTTTGCCAAATCTATCGATTCTACTGAGTTTTGTATGTAAAAAGTTGTCCTGGGGGGATTGGTATCATCACACTAATTGAAGTCACACACTAATTTGACGTTGATGATGCTGGTTGTTTCGTGCAATTTGATTGGCTCAATACATTTGGTTGTGTCGATTCCTTACTGGCCATGCCAATGCTCCAGTTTAGAATAAACACCACAATCAATATACAACAATGAGTATAATTTTGGTTTTGCCCCATGTGGGTCAAACGTTTGGATTGGCAGAAACTCGACAGAATTACATGATTTGATTGGCTTAGTTCTTGAATATCGATTGGGACATTCGAGTGTCGATTTGAAGATGGTTCATTTCGATGTTTGAATGATGAAGAGGGTTGATATGACTGTAGACAAGACGGCGGGGATGCTCATCGATGTGGCGTTCGTCCTCCAAGGCGAGTCGGAGGATGAACTGCCTGAGCAAGTGTTGGGCGTGTGCCGACTCGTGCGGGTGGACCTGTCCAAGGCGGCGCATGTCGCAGACGTCGCGGCCCGATCGTGTGGACGGGAGGACGCTTGACATGTGTGACGTGGCGCGGGGGGGTACTTACTGTAGGATGGAACGCTAGAAAACGAGTGGTTAACGTGGGTTCGTTGTTGATCGTATAGTTGTAATATCAACACTAAAATACTACAGGGATGGATGATACAGTGTATTTGTACGCGAGAACTAACTATACCTTCCTTGACTGTCCATGTAATATATAAAAATCAACAACTACTCGGGATTGTATATGCAGTAGAAACGTTACGACTGTTCGTTTTCAACCAACACAGTACAATTGCATCGATCAAAGGGCAACATACATTGATATTACGCTGTAAAGTTTAAATCACTAAGCGGGCGCTTATTGGCTTCGGCTGCGTACTAGCTGCTTTTGGAGCTAGCGGACTTACTAAAAAGGGCAACATATAAATATATATATATATATATACTAGTATACTTCTAATAATACTACGTAGTAAGCTTACAGTTGATATTGTGAGTATCCACAATACTTAGTACTAATATTGTAAGTATTGTTAGTACAGTACGTAGTACTACTGCCTTGCACACGTCAAGGAGATGCCAAACAGAGCCGCAGTGGAGCTGTACCCATCCGAGTGCGACAAACATGTAGTGCAATGCTACTGCAACCCGGTCGACCACGTAGAACGTTGTGTGGTGATGCAGGGGGCCGTGAACATCATCCCAATTGTCTTAACACCTTCTGCGCAATGATGACGGCGCTGTGACCATACTCCACAGCACCGATGGGTTCTGTACCAGCCAGTGTAGGTGTGACCGGTCTCCACTGTGTTCCAAGCCGATGCCTAGACAGTGAATTTGTCCAACTTTGGATCAGGGGTGAGGCGGTTATCCTAAGAAGCGACGACAGCTGCAGCAACTACCAAATCTTCCGCAAACTCAGCCACTAGCGTTTTTGAAACTTTATTTTTTATTCAGAATTTTTATACTGAACTAAAGGGTAGAATATTCACGCACCGGTTTGCCACGTTTTTCAACATTTGTCTTGCATGTGTTAAGCATACCAATAGCATTTATTCTGAGCCATTTGCACAAATGGACACATTTTCATCCGGAGACGGAAACCAATCTGATTGGTTCTTGCTCCGGAACCTGCGAAAGGAGCTTAGAACTTGTCGATGAATACGATCAATATTCATCACATGTGTTTTTATTGCTTTAAATTATTCGATTGGCTAACACGTGTCGTCCCTGTCAATGGTAATCCCCAAACTGCATCTCTAGTACTACGTACATTACTATTAATAGAACTACATAGTAAGTTAGTAGTTAGTGAAGATGCGACTCGACGATACATACGATCAATTGAAACCCAGGTTGAATATATGATTATAATATGGTCGTCGCTACAGTGTCAACACTGCCACGGTCACGTTGTCGCAGGTTCGACGGACGAGTGCCATCTCCACCAGGGCGGCGGCGGTCCGTTCCTCACAATGTCCAGATATATTCTCATTGTCCACCACTTGTTGCATGGCCTCTTCATCGGTCACGCGGTCCCACAAGCCATCGCTAGTCGTACATATACCATCCATCCATAAATAACTCGATTCGAAAAAACCAACAAACAGAAACAAATACTTCGAAGTATATTATACAATTAGTATTAGTATGAACGTGATACAAAGGGAACACCAATCACAATCCTTCTCGCCGCGACATTTCATTGGCTTGTCCGATAAAGAAAAGAGAATATAGCCAATCAGCAATGCGTTCAGATTGACCAATGGGAGAGCTTCGTGATCGGTTTCGGAAATTCGTACATATGACGTACTCACCTAGCAACCACGACAATGTCACCATGCCTTCTTGTAAAGTGCCGAATCGAGGGCACAGCAGAGACCAGCGCGGGCGTTTTGTCCTTGGCTGATGTACCTTTGAGGGGGTGGTCTCCTAGCGACCGAGTCACAGCCAGCCGCACACTGGCTTTCGGATGCGTGACCCGCCAGCAGCCAGAAAACACCACCTAAAAGTACATTCTTAGCCGACTAACCAGTCATACACACGTTCGTACGTCGCCACCTGCTGCCAGAACGCGTGCCTTTTCAGCAGGAAGGTTCGGTTTATGGTCTACTGATAGCCGTTCGACGTCGTGGCTAAGCAAGTTGGTCGACGGATCCTGATGACAAGCAACACGGACGAGAATTGCACGGGAGTCGCCCACGTTGGCCACAAACACCATGCTGTTCATCACGAGCACCACCACCGCCGTGGCGCCGTCTCGTCGATCGTGTTCAATCGTATATGCCAGAATATCATCGTCCAAGGCCAGGAACGCGGCTTGCAGAATCGCGTAAATGGCGACAATATCTGGGGGTTCGAGGGGATTTTGTTGATGTGCGAGTTGTTGCAGGTGCTCATTGGACGCCAAGAGCGGACTTATATGGGCCGCAGCAAACTCCGCCGCCCATGCGCCGTTGTGGCCGTCAAAGATCGCGACCAACGCGCAAGTCGGAAACAGGTGATGGGTCACCACATGCTTGTCTTCCATGTAGTCGCGTGTGCCTTGGGACCATGCGACGCCGACGTGGATGGACAGGGTCTGTATCGCATGAAATTTACTCCAACTTGCCATGTCCTGCTGGAAAGCGGCCAGTGCGGCATCGTGGGAGGCACGACGAGCTGCTTTGGCGCGGCGGAGTTGCTTCGTTATAGCGTTGGGGTTGCTGGCGGACGAAAAGCCCGTTGCCATCTTTGTGGCTGATTGGACACTCGAGTCCTTGACTTTGGTCTTGAGGAGACAAGGGCCTCCTCCTTGGGCTGGTTTGACTGCGTGTTTTCGTGCCTTTCGAGCAAACACATGCAACCGACTTCGGCCAGATGTGCCAAGGCCGGTGACATCGTTCGACAGGTCAAGACCCACGGTGTTGTTGACGACATCCCCCGTTGCCATCATAGGGGTCATTCGACCAATCCTTGGTGTCTTGTCCTGCCTGCTTGTTGCAACCGATGGACGTCGTCGGAAGCGGCGGTGGCACTCCCTCGTTGGACGAGCACGTTGGTGAATGTGACAAGGAGATTCGGCGCGCCAACTATAAATACTCGAATCTTTATCCGGATAAGAAGTCCGATCATCCAATCATATTGCGATTCACACTATTTAGGGATCCTAGTGTAGTGTGATCATATTGGACTAACAAATTTCATCTATTAAAATTGAATTGAGAGAAATTATTCATTTATCTGGAAATCTTAGTCTTGTTGCCACGTTGCATCATCCGGATAATACAACATCAAGCCGGATTTCAACACCGTTTGACCAGATTGTCGAGATGGCCGCTTGGTTGTTGTGGGCCAGCAGCGCCGCCTGTGTCCTGCTGATTCCGGTCCTTCGATGGTTCTTCTCACCCGTGACTGTCGCCAAGCACTTCCTTGAGGCGTATGACCCCAAGAAGCAATGGACGTACCGCGATCCGTCTGTCATACCCTCGCGGCAGTACGTTTGGCGTCCTCCATATTCCTGACACTTTTTACATGACTGGCATTGGTAGGGTTGCCTTCCCATCACTGAAATCGGCGCCAACGTGCTACTTGACAGTCGTCGTGCCGGCCTACAACGAGTCGGAGCGCATCTTACCGATGCTGCATGCGACGGTGGCCTACCTTGAGAAACGACGGGCGGCGGATGCGCGGTTCACGTACGAGATCATCGTCGTGGACGATTGCAGCACCGACTCCACCGTGGAGGTCGTGGAGCGCGAAGTCGATCGCCTCGCCACTTCAACTTCGCCCTCTGTGCTCAAACTTCTCCGGCTGGACGTGAATCGAGGCAAAGGTGGCGCGGTCCGCTGCGGCGTGTTGCGCGCGGCGGGCGAGCTCATCCTCATGGTGGACGCCGACAACGCCACCGAGATCCAGGACTTCGACCATCTTGAAGCGTTTTGGACCAAGGATTCGTACCCGACCGGTTTGATTGTGTGTGGCAGTCGCGCGCACCTCCAGGCTGAAGCCATGGCGACGGTAAGTCCCGCTGTCTTCTCCATCATGTAGCAGACGTTTCATACACAAGGAATGTTGGTGCTGTAGCGTCATCCGCTGCGCAATGTGCTCATGCACGGGTTCCACTTGATCGTGTCGACGTTGTGTGTGCAGCAGGTGCAGGACACCCAATGTGGCTTTAAGCTATTCGATCGCAAAGCAGCGCAGCTCGTGTTTCCGCCGCTGCACATTGAGCGCTGGGGATTCGACGTTGAGCTCTTGTACTTGGCCTTTCAGCGCAAGATTGCAGTGCATGTATGTCGTTTGCAAAACGTCTGCAACGGAATGTTGGTTTTCACTCGGGGGAATGATTGTGTTTAGGAGGTGGCGGTGCATTGGCAGGAAATCGCAGGATCCAAGCTGGACGTGGTATCGGCTACGTTTAGCATGCTGCGGGAAATGCTATTGATCCCATGCTGCTATAAGGTCGGGATCTGGCGGGTCGACGACGGCGCCGTGCGGCTCGTGTAGTTGAGTTGAAACCTAAATGGATAATGTACCTACATGAAAGTGTCCTGGGTTAACTTACGTGGGAAAACAACAGCTTGATTGAAATAAGAAATGATGGTCTATTCAAACGAAATGATGGTCTATTCGATCAGAATGATGATCCGTCGGCTTTAAAGAATTCCTGGCACGATGGATTTGGGGGGGGGCTACGTAGTGGTGGAGGTCGTGGGATGGGAAGTGGCGGAGATGGCGGCGGTGAGCGTGGCGACGTCCCGCTGGAAGAAATGATACGCATATGCGGTGACGTTGGTCGGCCGATCCTTGAGAACACCTTTGACGAGTGCGCGGATGATGCCGTCGAGTTCTGGGTGGGCGCGGATGTACTTTTCGTTCTCGATGCGGATACCGCACTAGTAGATCATGCACACGACTGTCGAGAATGTCGAGAATGCTCGTGGAGGAGGAAAAGGGATGGAGTGGAAGCGCCTACCTTGGCTTGATTCAGCGCGGCAATCTGCGCGTCACTCAGTACGTCCATGTTCATGTTGTGCCTTCTGAACTCCAATACCCAAGTAAGTATACAAACTTGTATACTAATAGTACTACAGTAGTATATTCTTATTTTGACAGTTACATTTAGTATCTTGAACCGTCACGACTTCGCCATAATCGAACATATGGAGAGCAAGGACATCTTTGCGCGACTCGCCGCCGATGCCAAGGCGTCCAACAACGAAGCCGATGGGAATGTCAATGCAGATGATTCGTACCTTGTCGTGATTGGACCCAAGAACAGCGGCAAGACGTCGCTCGTCCTTTACTTTCTCAACCCAAACAAAGGCAATTGTTGGCCCACTCTATGACCTATTACATCTTACATGATTCTTGTGCTGTTTGTTGTAGTTGATGAGCCCAAACCCACGGCAGCCCTGGACTACGTCTACGCTCGTCGCGCCGTGGCTGGCAGCAACAAGAAAGCTGTCGCTCACATTTGGGAACTGGGTACAAGCTATACTTCTTAATGCCATCCATCATCGAGAGTTGCACGTACTTATATCCATGTGACATGGTAGCCACGACCAAGAAGGTGCTGGAACTGCTCAAAGTCCCTCTGTCGCCCGAGCGGTTGCCCAAGTCAACGCTCATGCTCGTGCTGGACTTGTCAGTTCCTGGGGACGTCGTGCCGTCGCTGGTGTACTGGATCGCGCTCGTGCGAAAGCTCGTGGCCGACACCATCCCCACGTCTTCGTCGGAAGCGCTGGTGCTGGCCAAGTATGGTGACAAGCATCCCGACCGCCGCGACGTGTCGCCGGTGGCGGTTCCGCTGTTGATCGTCGGTGCCAAGTACGAGACGTTCCGGGATGAGGACAGCGTCAAGCGCAAGGGATTGATCCAGGCTGTGCGGTTCATGGCGCACGCCGTCGGCGCCACGGTGTTGTTTACGTCCGTGAAAGACAAGACCCTCGCCACGCAGGTATAAAAGTTGGCATCGCTACGATGGCATTTGCTAAAATGTTGTCCTTTCAGCCAAAGTGTGATGACCAGTTTCACACTAATATAAGTCACACCCTAATTCGATGTTGAATGATTGAATATTCTACGTTTTGATTGGTCGAACGATGATTGTCTGCCGATTTGGTGCTTACGAGTACTTTGTAGTTTCGCGCAGCGTTGAATGCAGCGTTGTACCGTACCGACGGGAGTGGCAAATCCACAAAGGAAGTCGACAAAGGGTTGTTTGTGCCAGCAGGTACAGTGTGTACGGACTGGGACGTGTTGGGATTGTTATATCACTTGAGTGCTTTTCTGTATATTGAAGAACGGAACGAGTTGTAGGAACCGATTCATTTGAAGAGATCGGACTGCCCAAGGGCGCGCGAGTGACAGACTTTGAAGAGTCGAATCTGGACAAACGCATCAAGTTGTGGGCCAAAGCCACCGCCGAATTGTACCCCCCCGTGACCCCCCCGCCAGAAGGAGGTCCGCCGTTCACCCTCTTTTGTCAATATCATTGGATGGTTTTATTAGGAAAGGAAACTGTCGAAGATGACAAGGAAGAAGCAGACGAAAAGTACCCCGAACCGTCCATCGACGCCCTCCGCAAACAAAAGCGGTAAGTTGGCGATGGATCAAATCGGAATGTGAACGTGACATGGGGTTGTGTAGGGAAGAGTTACGGCGATACAAGGAAAAGAAGACGGACAAGAAGCCCTCGGCCAAGAAGGACGCCAAGGAGTGACCTGTACTTGAATACAGTGAGTTTTGGACGGGTCCATAGAATCAACTGTGTAGGTGCAGAGTTTGCACAACATCTAAGTTCATATCACACTATGTACCGGTAGTACTAACTATGAATAATCCAACCAGGGTGAGGCAATAAGAGGCTAGAATCTGCACATGCCAGCATTATTACTTACTAGTAACTACATGCATCCATGGACATGTGAATTTACTCAAATGTCCATTGTAGTATACTGTACTTCAATGGACATTTGAACTGCAACATTGAATGCATCGTACTACTAGTAATTACTACTAAGTAACTCGTAATGTATTTTAGTACTGTACTTGGATACTGTACATAATGGAATACCGCTTGGTAACCAATAATGTTCCAAGTTGAAGCACCTACAGTAAGTACCATACTATCTGAAACGGCGGCGGCACCTCCATCCCTCGCCATCTTTCGTTCGTCGTACTTCCATCACACATGTCTGCGTACAATGTCCTCACCAACATGCACCTGACGATGGTCGTCCTGTCGTTCCAAAGCGGGATCTTCGACACCCTTCGACCGGTATATGCGTATCGCGAGACGATGCTGCACAAGTGGCCGCGGCTGGCGCACAAGCACATCGGACACCTCGAGGACCCGCGGTCGGTTCTGTTTCTGCTTATCGAGCAGAATCAACTCGATGGCGTCCAGCGGCTGCTGCGGTGCCGACCCCGCGACTGGCCAACCTCACCTTGGCCAAGGGGCACATCATCCAGCCCCACTTTTGTGCTTCGTCCGCACCCGATGGACTCTGCCGCCGCCCTCGGCCGCGTCGAGATCTTGAAGTTTCTGCACACAGCGTCCATTGGACATTGTACGACCTCGGCCATGGACTTGGCGGCCCGCAATGGCCATTTGGAGGTCGTGAAGTTTTTGCATCACCACCGACAAGAAGGATGCACGACATGGGCGGCGAATTGGGCGGCCGAGTACGGCCACCTCCATGTCCTTAGGTTTCTCCTCGACAATCGTTCTGAAGGGTTTACAGCATACGCTGTCGCCCACGCCGCCCACGATTGGATTCAACGAGCTCTGACTAGTCACAGCAATAAAAGCCAGAATTACGACTATTATTAATACTAGTAGTACAAGTATATCGCAATGAAAATCCTATTGATATTCTACAAATCCTATTGATATTGTCCTTTTACCCAAAATTTGGACTTTTGAGCTAATTCGCCAAATCTATCGATCGATTATTTATACTGACTTTTGTAGTTAAGATCGTCCAGTTTCACACTAATTGAAATCACACACTAATTCGATGTTGATTTGGTCGAATAGTAGATTTGATTGGCTACTTGATTCTTGATCTGGGTTTTGATTGGTCGATCGATTGTCTGCCGATTTATTGCTGCTCATGATTCCATTCGAATCGACTTGACAATATGGTGATGAACAATGATGTGCTCGAATGCTAAAACCCCAATGTTACATGCCCAGTGTATCATGCTTTATCTCATGTACTTCGAAGTACTAGTTAGTGTACAAGTAGGAGCGACGACTTGTTATGGAGAGATACTGAAAGGACATCTAGACTATGGTAGTTACTACCGGTAGACTATGATGGCTATACGACGGAATGGCAAGTGTCGTCTATGAACATGGCGGAACTGTTACTTCTCTAGAGGGCGGACGGCGTCGATTGAAGCAACGTGTCCGCTTTGAATGTCTACATATGAAGCAAATCGTGATGCCGTAGAAAGAAAAGGTATGACGCATTTACCTGAGCATGGGGTTCGTCGAGCCAGGCACGCGATTGGGAAATGTCGGCTTGGATAGCGTCCACGAGGGCTTCCAGGGATGGGTAGTTCTCTTCCGGCCGCAAGTACCCCACAAGGACGAGGTTGAGGGTCGCGCCGTAGAAGTCGGACGTGAAATCATGCAGCAAATGAGGCTCGATAGTCTTCTCCTTGTTCTGAAAGAACGGGTTCCAGCCCACGCTCGCCACCGCCTTGTATGGGCCTTGCCCGTCCACGGTCGCCCAACCGCAGTAGATGCCAGTGGGAATGTCATGGAGCAGGTCACCCAGCTCTTCCGACGACAGGTTCGCCGTCGGGCAGCCCAGCTGCTTCCCGCCACGGCCAAAGCCGGCCACCACCGTCGCCGTCAGTCGGAACGGCGTCACTTCTTGCATGTTGGTCGTTTGCTGAATTCGAGTCCTGTACATCATTCGGATAAAAACATTTATCCGGAGATCAAGCAACTCAGAACCGGATAAATAGGCTGTAAAGTTTAAATTATCCGGACTCCACAATTGCGCGCGAAGAAAAACGATCATTTCAGAACAATCTCCATAGGTGACAGGTCCCCCGCGATCGAAGCGGCGTCCGCGCTTTCCTCGACGAACGTCGACGGAAATGACGATGCTTCCGCATGTTCCTCGGCGACATACGTCCACACGTTCCTTGGCCTTCCCCGCAGGAACAGCCACGTATTCATGAGCGAGCCTTGGCTGAAGGGCAAGACGTCCGGCGGAAGGTCCTTCAAGTATGTGATCTTGCTTCGCTTTGCATGCTCCCAGGACGACTATGAGGTACAAACGAAGTTCAACTGGTGAATTGAAGATGGAAAATGGACGTGCGTACTTGATTTGTCGAGATGAGATACACGTGGTAGCACAGCAGGCCAAACGCGATCAAGAACACTAAAAACCCAAACACGACGAGCAGCATGAACGGAATGCTGTCCCGAAGCCACTGCTCCAGACTGTTGTCGTCATCGGTCTCGTCGTTCATGCGCATCCCGAACGACGCAATGCCCATCCCCCATATCGCTTCCAACGATTGTGTCAACATGTACAACACGAACAGGCGGTGATTGTCGCGCCCCACGCACACACCCGCACACACACAGCTACATGATTGATGCATGTAAGAGACAGAAACGTACGAAGTAGGTTGCAAGTACTGTACACACACGTACTGGTGGTCATACTGCTCGACGCATCGTCCGCAATCGTTGCTACATGATGAAAACGTTAAACAGCGTTGATATAGAATCAAGCTTGAACGTACCAATGCTTGGCTCGAAGCGGCTGGTGGACGTGGCAATGTGCACAATAATGCCGTCGGTCCACGTGCGCCACTTCGACGTCCAAGAGCGAATCACTGGTGTCGTCGTGATGAAACACGCCCCCGTCAACTCCATAGTCGTCTTCTAAGCGTTTGTCTTCTTCCTGTGGCAGCACGAACCCTGGAGACGAACGCTGCAGCACAACATAGCACACCGCGTTCATGACTCCAAGCGCGATGCACAGCACCAACCCAGTGGTCCAGTCCCGAAAGTACTGCCGCCACGCGCCAGCATAGATGGGATACGCATATGCGACGACGTGGAAGCCAAGCCACCATAACCGGGTGTAACAGACGCTCTGTTTCGCCAACGCGATGGTCTCCGCAGGCGTCCGGTCGGCTTTTCGGCGAGCCATGCTGTCGATAATTCCGGATCATATGCATCCGGATGTGGTTGCTTTTCTGAATGCACTGTGTGAATAACAACAATAAACTATTGTGCTTTTTCGTGTGAAATTTCGTCGTTGGAATTTAAATCGATTTGATTGGCTACCTCAGATAGCTCAAAATTATTAGCCAATCAAAAACTTCTCAATGAAATTCAACCAATCAGATCGATTGTGGATCGGTTTGGTCACACTAATGACCACCTCGCCTGCCAAGCGGCCACGACGATCTGCACTGCGTTTAGCCATGTCCAAGCTAAAGCGGGGGCGTTGGAGGCGACAATGACGGCGTGGACTGAGCTCAAAGGCCGCGTTCGACAGAACCTCCACCCCAACATTGTCACATTGAGCGTGGGCAGTACGATCTTTCAGGTGTCCAAAGATACGCTGCTGTGTGGGGACGGAGGCCCTTAGTTTCACGCGTTGCTAGGGTCTGGTCAGGGGAAGCCCGACGGCGACGCGTACTTGTTCGGCTTTGACCCGAACCTTTTTCGACGAGTGCTGATGCATCTGCGCGCTGGAAAGGCAAGCCCAATCGATGACGAGTTGTCAGAAGCCGAGCGCGACAAGTATGCGTCGATGATGCATATCTAAAGCTGACTGATGGGCCCCCAGCGGAAGATGTGATATACCGATCCGATGGGACCCGCAAACCCTTGGACCAGGAATCAAGTTGGCGAATAACTTGCGAACAATTCTGATGAGGTTAATTCCGTCGCCATGCGATGTTGCCTCGAAATGGCAGTGTGTTGTAGCCCTGGCGCCGCTGATGGGACCATTTCAAGCCCGCGTTGACAGTGGCAATTGCGATTTTCTTATCGGCCTCAGCCCCTGGGGATGAATGGACATCACTTCGGAATCCCCAATGTCGAAATGCTACCTATACAAGTCAACCAGAGCCACTAGCCATTTTGAGAAGAAGTATCCAAGCCACCAACCAATCTACGATTCAAGCAGGCGACGTGGTGACGATTCAGCGTACTCCATTTGAATTTGCCATGAACGATGGAGATTCCGTCAAGCCGACTCTTGTCGACACGTCCGAGGACTTAATTCAGGTTGTGTTTATGTATCGATTGTTGAAGATTACAATTGTGGACTACGTAACCATGAATATACAACGTGTACTACGTATTAGTACTTCGAAGTACGAGGTAATAACTTTGGCTGCTGTACAGTATTACAGCCCAGTAATCGTGTCTCAAATAGTAACGCCAAGAAGCAATGTAGTGTCTGTCAATCATAACCAGTTGCAAGGAAGTGTATAACGTCGTCACGAAACCGATCCCCTAATACCCATCTACATACATGTACACGCCCGTTCCAATTCAAATCGCCAACAGTAACGTTCAGTTCGATGTTCATGAAATAGAGTAGGAGCTAAAGGCGGCTTAGACGTGCCCCGGGGTGGAGACGGGGACGAATTCAGTTTCGTCGTTGATGATGTGTTCGGCCTTGGTGATGGCGGTCTTGTAGTCGTCGCTGGCGTCGTACGCTAGCCCTCCATGGTACGACACATCAAGTCCAGCGAGTTCATTTTCCCGTGTCACACGCAGCAGGTCAAGGCGGAACAGGCCGAGGAACAGCACCGTGCATGTCACCCCCACCCACGCGACGATGGCGACGATCACAATCAGCTGGGCTGCAAATTGGCGGCCGCTGTGGGCGCACGTGTAAAAGAGGCCACATGTATCGCTTCGGCCGTACGCCATCTGCATCCCGTCCGACGAGGCAAGCAAGCCTGGGGCGAGGACACCCCACATCCCACAGAGCAAGTGCACGGGCACGGCGTCCACAACGTCGTCGATTCGCCAACGAACGAGCAGCCTCGAGGATGCCGTGTACAGCACCGCGGCGACAAGACCGATGACGACGGCGCCAGCGGGCTCGACGACGGCACACCCGGCGGTGATCGCGACCGCGCCGGACAAGACTCCGTTGTTGGCCATGGTGGGGTCCACGATGCGGTCGCCCGTGACGGCGTTGATGCAGACGCACGAGATGCCGGCGGCGGCGGCGGCTAGGGTGAGGTTCACGGCGACTTTGGCGGCAACGTCGGCGCCGTTGCCAACCAGCGTGCCTGTGGACATGCAGTTGAAGCCGTACCAGCCAAACCAGAGGAGGAGCGTGCCGATGGTCTGGAGCAGCACCGACTGCTTGGGCATGTCGTGGACCTGGCCATCCTCAAAGCGGCCGAGGCGGGGCCCGAGAATGCAGCATCCCACGAGCGCCGCCATGCCGCCCGTCATGTGCACGACGCCGCTGCCGGCAAAGTCGACAGCCCCAACGTCCAAGAGCAGGTGGTTAGGCGTGTTGAACGCACTCGCAAACCCCGTGGACGACCACACCCAGTGCACGACCACGGGGTAGATGAAGGCCGTGAGGGCGACCGCGTACGCGATGTACGCGACAAACGAGATGCGCTCGGCCACCGCACCGGTCACGATCGTCGACGCGGTGGCGGCAAACGCCCACTGGAACAGCCAGCCCGCGTACGCCTTGCCATTGTACCGGCGCGTGGCATCGTCGCCATCATACACTTCGTCGAGGAAAACGAACCCGCTGTTGCCGATGAACCCATCCCCCTTGACAAACCCAAACGCGTACCCGACAAAGTAAAAGCACACGGCGCTGATGCACCCGTCGAGGATGTTCTTGACGAGGATGTTCTTGGTGTTCTTCACGTGCACGCACCCGACCTCGAGGAAGCAGAACCCCACTTGCATGAAGAAGACCAGAAACGCCCCCATGAGCGTGTAAAACGTGTCCAGTGCGCGCGCCGACGCCACGTCCGCGAACTTGGGGGAAACCGACGCAACGAGCGCAGCGAATTCGTCTGTGGACAGCGTCACAGCCGAGCCGTTAACGACCAAAGTGACGTTCATGCTCGTTGTTGGAAGTGGAGTAGAAAACGAGATGGGGAGAAGGAGAAGGATGAGCGAGGGAGGAGCAACAACTACCGTTGTTCTGCAGAGGGCAGATCGAATTGTGACCGACCTAGATGATGGCCCAAGAAGGGGGCTGGTTGTCGTCGTCGAGATGGGGTCGTCACGTTCTCATCACGAGGTCATGGGAATGGCGGTGTTGGGGCCACAAGAATTTGAAGAGGTCTCGTCGGATTGGCTGTTGAGGAGACAATCCAACCCCGTCCGAGTCGAACGACCGTTGGTGGATACTACTTTATTGAACACGATTGCAAAACCTCGAAAAGAAACGAGCAAACTACCAAGTGTATTTGTTTTGCATCATCGTACTATTAGCGTGGGATAAATAGAGGATACAGTAGGATACAGTACAGATGTACAAAAATATATACTAAATGCTTTTGCTGTTGGAATATGGTACAATTGGCATGGGGCTAGCCCTAAGCTCGTAAATGTCGGTTTGTGAGCAAGTACGTGGCAACTCCTCGGAACAGGGGCGAGGAATCAGTTGAATGCACACCTTGACGACGCCACGTCACGACGACGATTGACCAGCTGAGAACTCAACGAATCTGATTCCACGGAGCAGATTATTCCTGTAAAAGATGACTTCAATAACGTTATGCGTCGTAGAGATTCCCCTGTCATGGATCGCCTCCACTTTGTTTCATGTGCTTATCAAAGGGGATAAGTCGCTTGAAACACAGTAAACGACATACATTGCACTTCAGTGAACCCGTCAGGAAAGCACGTGCCCAACAACTTGGAGTAGCATCCCTTTCATTTAGTGCAGCCTCCCCCAACTCCCCCAACGGGAGATGACGGAGTCGGCGTCACAGAGGCTTTCGTCGTCGCAGGCTTGGGGGATTTGGTCGTCACAGGAGTCACAGACGTCGTCACAGGTGTGACAGGGGTTGGGTGAGCTTCATGTACGGCTCAAACGTTTCTGTACTCCTGTTCGTGATACAGTATACCTGAATCTAAGCGGGACTCTGAAAATGTACAGGGCATGAACGGTACCACCGAGTCCCATATTTTCAGTGAACTTCCACAGAGAAACACGGAATCCCCTCTAAATATTAGCGTACGCAAATCGCTCTAAGCATGAGCATTGACTTACAGTTAATACTAGTAAGTAATTGTTGTCGCCAGTGGTCGACACCGTTTTGAACGTCGTTAACGCCAGAAAGTCGTCGTATTTCTTGAAGTGCCCTGCAGAGTCGAAAGGGGGACTAGTGTATGGTTTGCTGTACATGGAGAGACTAGGGAGAGCTACACAGGTGCAGTTCATGTCGTCCTACACAGGTGCAGTTCATGTCGTCCTACACAGGTGCAGTTCATGTCGTCCGTAAAGATCAACGGAAGTTGTCTTATCGATTGCTCAATCACACGAACGTTTACACCTTGAACCGACCTCTACTGCTGAACATTAAGCATAATCATCCTCGTTAAGTTACATCATGTTGCGCATTCAAAACGAAGGACGCCCGTTTTGAAGATTTGGTGAGGTGTAAGCTACCTGCCGACGAGACACATTTATACTAGTAAGGCATATTCTTGTGGTGGAGCTGACCGAACGGCACCACCAACGTTCTCTAGTTTCTCCTTCGAGGTATCCGTTTGGCGTTCAAATTGTGAGTTCCGTAATATCCATAGCTATCATGTCAATACAAATCACCGTTAATACAGGGCATTCAAAATGCAAATGAAAGGAAATGAGGACATCCAATTATACTATTAATAGTAGTGCACTCTAACCTTACAGTTCGATCTCTCCAGAATTTCGCTCACGTCAGTTTTTTCTAATCAAAACAAGGCATTCTAATTGGCTACTATCCACCACTCAAGCCAATCACAGCCTTTCCCGAATGCGGTGGACAATCCTTATTATGGTGTCATGCCTGCAGAAAGTGGAGTTGGACATGCCTTGGGAAATCGATACAAGTCCCTTGGATGGTGTGTCGCCGGGTACAGTATCGGTGGAATTACAGGATCTCAACTGCATTTTGTTTACCCCCCCCGTATCGGGTGAATTTCCCCTGATTCGAACTTGCAAGTCTAATAGGGAATATGACGCGACGCAACTGAACGAGGGTTGTACTCCAGAACTGGTCAACATGGTTGGCAAGTTGTTCCTCACAGGTCTCGTCTTGGTGCGAGCAATACAAGTCTGTACACGAGGTCGTCCAAATGTGGTTAGTACGTCGAAGCTTGGCCCATAAATGCAAGTACTGCGAAGCGTACACGGCAAGGTGAACTTGACAGTGTAGTTGAAGCTAAACCTTGTCATGCTTATCAAATAACGTTATATCCTGGTTACTCATCGAGAATCGCAACTTTCATTTGTGCATACTTAAACACCACCGGAAACAAGTCCTTGGAAGGGTCTTCGAGAGTAACGATGCACGGATAGCCATCATTCACGGCAAAATCAACATGCGACAGAGCACGCTGAACCGCACCACGTTCCCCCCCATGGATCTTCAGCAGGACCGCGACATGGGTACCTTTCTCAACCTGGCTCCGGTAGACTTGTACAGATAGCAACTCGCCATTGAGCTGCTAGAAGTGACATCCATTCCCCCGGGGCCAAGGCCGATACGAAACTCCACGGATTGTGTAGTGCCCACGCGGACGTTCACCCTTCCCGTCAGCGGTGTCGTGGCTACGGCACACTGCCACGTCACAGTAAACATACCCATCTGACTCGTGCGCGAGTCATTCGACAACGAAATGGCTGGTCCATCTTTCGCTTGACGGCGCCATCATCGAATCGGTGCAATTCTCACCTGCACTGAAGCCCAACGGCTCAAAGTCAAAACACACAAGCATCCGCACAACTCGACTTCGGCCAATCCGTCCATCAATATGGTCTTTCCAGAACGCAGATATTACATCAGCAACCGTCCAAACAGTGTCGAGTCAAGTCCAACACGTACGCGTCGCCGTCTGAATTGTCTCGTCCAAACCCCAACAGCGCGTGGAAGTACGTGTGCCTTTACCGCCACCAACACTCAACGTGACTACGTTCGGGTGGCTGATGATATCTTGTCGCACGCAGACTTGGAGCTCGGCCCATGCGGTCATGTTCTTCTTCACTTCCGTTCCCCAATCCTACTGTACTCTTCTAGGTTTTGGCTAAACCCAGTAAATAAATACAGTAGCTGTCCCTGGTTCGGAGACTTATTGGTGGACGTCGTCATGGTTTGAGGACTGCCCAAACGAGGGGAAATTGCGTGTGAAGTTTGCTCTGCATTTTAATGGGACGAGGTCGTCCCAACAAAAGTTGTCAAGTTGAGTTGTTTTGGATTACCCTGCACCTAGCCATGCACCTACCCCCAACTCTATGCCTGGCTGCACCTATGTCCAGGAAGGTAACGTGCAACCCCCTCTCTATCCCCCTTTTAACCGCTTTCGAGTTGTGCAAGCGCAAATGCGACACGGGCTCGAGTAAGAATCATGCAAGGTCGGAATGACAATTTGAATCATACTTCTGAAGTACTACCGGTAGTATGCCTTCAAAAAGCACCATATAGATGAAGGTATAATATAGATGAAGGTTCATTTATCTTTTGCATTGTGACTTGTCACCTTTGATTACCATGAACGAGTCGCTGGATGAGACGTCGTTGACGTTTACGCATTGGGCCGGCGAGGTCAAGTACACATTCTGCGGCGAAGAGATCACGCTGGTGCAAGACCCGACCTCGCACGTCCTGGGCAGCACCGTGTGGGACAGCGCCAAATGTGTGATGAAGTACATCGAGGTGCATCGGCCGCGGTTCGACGCCATATTGGAACGCCAGCGGCCGTCGCGCAAGTCCAAGAAGGCCCAGCCTACCTCCACCACCTCCTCCTTATCACCTGCATCTGCCACTGTGTGTGAGCTAGGCGCAGGCCTGGGTCTTGCTGGCATTGCGTTCGCCAAAGTTGGCTTTTGCGTGGTGCTTACCGACGTAGCACCTGTGATGCCTTGGCTTCGGGCCAACATCCAGGCCAACTGCACACCGACCCAGCTGGAGACAAATGTGTTTGCACACGAGTACGGCTGGGGCACTTCGCCAACGTCGTTGCAGCGCGTCGTCATGTCTCCGTACGGTACGTCCTCCCCTTCGTCCATATTATAAGAGCACTATTATTTCGGCTATTTCGTAGACATTGTGCTGTGCGCCGATGTGATTTACGAAGCGGCTTGCGTGAAACCACTGGTTCAGTCCATCTTGGCGATCTCGAATCGAAAGGTTGCATCCGTTTAGCTTTGATTTCCGAATGAACGACGATCATCGGTTAGACGCTGGTGCTGTTTGCGAACGAACGACGCACGCCCATCGTCCACGCCGAGTTCATGCGATACCTCAACGAATACTTTGTATGGACAGCCATTCCACAGTCCCAGTGGCACCCCGAGTACGCCAAAGGTACGTACGCCCCTTCAGCCGTTTCTACAGTACCTTGAACACTCGAGTAGACACTTTGGAAATGTACGAAGCCAGGCGGAAACACACCAAAACGCCACTTGACATGGTCATACCCGACGACCCGTCCCTTGCCCCGCCTCAAGACGGCCTTTCACACTCGGACGACACATAGCCCTGCTAATATATTAGGGCTCATCCGTTCAAGCATCCATGGGAGCTAAAAAGTCGAAGAGATGCCGAATATCCATATATATATATCCTGCAGGGTTCAAGGAAGAATACTTGGAGGACAGTCGAAATGTGTGTCTGGTGCTGGTAAAGATGGGAGTGGTACTACACCCGATGGCATGTTGATGTAGTTGTGATGGATAATATGTCACCTCCAGCAAGGTCGATCAACTTCGACGCACGCTCAGGTGACTAGTTAGTATATAGAGTAAATATTAATAGTATACAAATTGTTGTGTTTAAACGCTCCAGTTTAGAATAAACGCATAATCCAGAAAATGACATGAAATATGGGCGAAAATAACACGGCACGACTTCGATTTGTTCTTACAATTTCCAACCACAAACGACGTTACAGTACTCGGCAGAAGAATTGAACCAATCAGCGTGCAGGAAACCATCATCAACGTTTATTTACTGTTAGGATAATTAGGACTACGTAGTACAACACCACCTTTCATATACAAAATGTCAGAATAAAGAAAAATCGATCAATAGATTTGGCGAATCAGCGCAAAAGTCAGCCAACTTTTGGGTCAAAGGGCTACACTGCTGTGCACAGTGGGGCACAGTGGGACGAATTCGGGACAGGTGCCGCACTGGCTCTAATTATGTGTCGTTTGTACGACCTTGACGTTGAACTTGATACAATACAGTGCTTCGTCTCATACTACTAGTACTACTAGTACTACTACCACACAAACGTTCGAATAGATCCCTTAGGCACGACCGTGGGTACCGACTGTTGGTGCTTCCCATCTTGGACTACAATATCAAACGAGACATCTTCCCAGGGATGTTCATTGAGCACCACGAGGACACTTGCCTTGTCTGGCGTGGTAAAGGCCACCGCCTGGACAAATGCATAGCCTGCCGTGACACAATGCTCACTCGACGGGTTCACCAGCGCCGCCCCATCAAACATCCACGTCTGCGCCGCCTTGTCCGCGGCCATGCATGGTTCCAGCGTGAGTCGGCCGCCGTCTTCCAGCGCGCCATTCCGATGCGTGAGGCATCCACCTCCTGCATTAGTCTCAACGTCCTGGGTTTCGTTGGTGGATATCTGTGGACGTGCTATTGCTTCAAATGAAATCGTCCCATCTTCCAAGCCAAATGTCCACGAATTCGAAGTGTACTGACACTCGACCAACTCGATCCGGTTGCCCAACCACGGCTCGGCCACGACGTCAATGCACAAGCTCGTGTTGGCCACTTGCAGCTTGGCGTCCGATGTGCGCACAATGCGCTGCCGACTCGACCGGTCGCAGCCGTACGCGCCTGCTGGGAACCGCGCCGCCAGCTCGCCCACGTCGCCGCCACGACTGTCTGCTGTAGTAAACTTTACATGCACTCTCGACTTGATTCGCGTCGACCCTGGTGGAATGTATCCGGAAAAGTGCTTGATGTAGTGGAACATGGGCTGTACGGTAAAGTCTTGGCCATCCGGATGAACGATCACGGGTGCGTCGCACGTGTTGCCGAGCTTGTTGGGGCCGCCTTGGTGGTCCAGCATGAGGTTCCAGTCGACCCATCCGCCGGCATGATGGCTCAAGTCCTGGAGAATGTCGTGAGCGTAGCGCACGCCGCGGTCCCATGCCTGCGGCCCCGTCGCGACGCCCGGACAGTGCGCGGCTTCCGTCGCCAGGAGCAGCTTGGTCGGGTCCAGGTGGTGCGTCTGGTTGACATGTTCGTGGTTCTGCACGCCGTCGAGGTCTCTCGTATTGTCGTACCAGTGAAATGCGACACCGTCCACGAACGGCGCGACCGCCGAGTGGTTGTACACACCCTGGGCCCACATGTGGACGTTGCCGCGGTTGTGGTCAAAGATGAGAATCTTCACATGCGGGTGGTCGCGGCGGATGGTCGGTCCGAGAAAGTCGGCGATAAAGGCGGCCTGTGTCGAGTCGTCGTACAGACATGCTTCCCATGGCGCCGGCTGCTGCGGCTCGTTCTGAGGCGTGAGACCCCAAAAGTTGATCCCGTACCCTTTGTAGGCGGAAATGAACTTTGAAAAGTACAACGCCCACGAGCTTTGAAAGGCGGGATTGAGGCCATATGGCTGCGCGGACCCGAGCATGTCGAGCTTCCCCGATGCGTCAGGCATCTTCATCCACGCGGGAGGGCTCCATGGTGACAGGAACAGCTTCATGTCAGGGTTAAGAGACAAGGCGCGCTGGATCAGCGGAATCATCGCGTCCGTGTCGTGCGTGACAGACATGTCAAAGTGCTCGAGCAGCGTATCGCCGTCGACGTCGTCGAAAGAGTATGAAGATGGGGAAAAGTCGCACGAGTTCATTGGCACGCGGCCGACAGAGTAGGCGGCGCCGCCGTCCGCGGCCGGACTGAAGTACAACCGGAGGACATCGTCTTGCTTGTGTCGTGGCAGTCGCTGGAACTGCAGCGCCGAGGCTTCCGTGAACGCGCCGCCAAACCCGACAATGTGTTGGAACGTCGTGGATGTGTCCACGAGAATGTGGCTCGACGTGGCATCGCCCTTTTGGTGGGACGATGGGCGAAGAGGGGCGTGGTGGATAGATTGCGTCAGATGGCCGCTGTCAAAGCTGGTTTCAACGACGTGGAGAAAGGACGACGAAGACGACAACTGCGAGGTCGTGGTCGATGAAGTTGGAGAAGCATCGAAAGTGACATGGTGGACAATGCAGACGCCAAACGACAATGCGATTGCGGCGCCAACGGCTATTGGCAATGCGTGGCGCTTGAACCAGGCGTTGGTGCGCTTCATGGTGACGACCGGCATGGAGCCATACTGCGTCCGAGAAGGATTCGCGGCACTAGCAGCAGTCGGACTTGCTCGCGGGGAAGCATGCTTGCGCTCCATGTGGAAGATTTCGAATTGGGCTGGTCGTTGCCCCATTTGGCCAAGTTTCGAAATCTTTGTAACCGTTGGAGATGACATTTTCCAATGTTGCTGTTTGATTGGTTGAAACTCTAGTTTCCATACCAATCTGTCCAATAAAAACCCAGTATCAAATAAAAGGACCAATGAAACACGACTGTCACGATCCCTTCAAATGACAGTTACAACAACTTCCATGGAATCAATGTTGGCATTTGATGGAACCATGATGCAATAAGATTCACGGCCGGGTACGAGCACGATGGCAGTCTATTGCGGCTTGAAGAGCTTTTGCGCCGTGCCGATTGATTCTGCCGACACCACATGTAGTACGGCTCCCAGCGCGCCTCCAACGGCGACCAACGTGTCTTGAACCGCCCGCCCCGTACCAGATCGTCATGTGCCGACTATTGTGGCTGACGTTACTGATGGGAAGGAGCAGTGACCCTCCCTTGGCATTCGTGTTCGAATGCCCAGCAGCGCCAAGTTTGAACCGGCCAAAGGTTCTTCGACCTTGGGTTACATGAACAAGTGGACGGAGACGACAAGAACATCGATCATACCACGACATCCCATGGTTGGTCGGGCGCCAATCTCGAGCATGGCGTTCACAGGGCGAGGGTGGCGGAGTCGAACAAGCCATGCGTTGGTGTATTGCCCGTTGAATCATATAGTAATGGAGTAATCTATTGTCGGACCAAGTCAAAGTGTTGATCATACGCCGCTCGGGCTGTAGAAGTCGAGAGATATTGTCACGGCGCCCTCAGCCGACCCCGACCACTGGAAGTTAAAGTGCAAGTACTACACTTGTTTTCGCCTTTGATGCCATATGGCTGTCAATGTTATTGGGCGAGTGTTGAAGGTGTCGTCGGTTCGTAACGGTCGTTGCGATGATCGAACGAACCGACGACAACTTCAACAACACGGAGAATCTGTCTCGTGCAAACGAAGATATGCATCGGTACTCGAGTATTATAACGTTATGATGGCATATCCCATGGCGAAACACGAGCCGTGGATTCCTTCCGTGTCCACGAAAGCTACTACGTACCCTCCAAGTAGTACCTGTCGGGTGATAAAGCTTAAACTAGGGAATTCGACACTGCCTCCTTTAGTCCATCGTGGCCATGTCAACTTCACGAGATATGGTCGAATGAATGCAGGTCAAATTCGGCTGCTCACTGATCCGACTTAGCTTTTTCACCGACGACACGTCGACCGAGGAGGCAACCCTACTGACCGTGTCGTTCGCCATACGCATGTGATGGAGTGTAAGTCCTGAGCTGACTACCGTTGTAGATATGGCCACGACCAACCAACGTGGGAGGATGCAGCAGTGTACTTACTACCTTGAGCATATGACAAGATTGTGCTGACTGGCCTCAAGACTGGCCACGACAGAATCACTAGAAGCTGACCAGAAGACTATGCGATCACCAGGAAAGGCTCGGGTGGAACGCTAATGGAATCCCATGTTTGCTTAGTACATAGTAGTACTACGTAGTAACCAATTGCCTGTTACTACGTAGTACTTTGGTGGTTGAAAGGTAAAAGCTACTTTCCGTAGACGACAACACGAGAGAATACTGTATGTTGTGTCTTCTTAACTGTAAATAGTGGAAAGCAGCAGCTTCAACTACTACTGACTACATGAGCATGCATGACGTGCGGCGGTCGCTTGGTCCGTCTGCATGTCCTACGTCGACAGATCGTCCTAGTAGGAGATTGGATATTCGACGATGGAGCGATCCGTGCTTGTCGTTCGTGGGTACGACCACAGCGCCAGTTCCAAGCGGCTTGGCCAGCTTTAGCGCCGTCGACTTAAACTTGACCTCGAACGCCCGCGACAGATGCGGCTTGACATCGTACACCCAGTCCCAGTACTCGTCCACTTCTCGACCTGTGCACTCAAACATGACTTTGACTTCCCCTACACACACAGGACACCCTCTACCAAGCCGCCATCATCATGAGCATCGACGAAGGTGGACGAGAGAGCGTACGTAAAGGAAGACTGCCCACCGAGGGACTGGATGCACGCATCGCACACACACTTGTGTTGGCAAGGAAAGAGCACCATGTGCGTCGGTTGTTGCTTGCACACGACACATGCCGCGTCCTCGTAAGTCCCGTCGGGGCGGCGCGCGTACGGCTTAGCCATGTTGAACTTGTCCACCTCGGTCATGTAGTCGCTGATCATGCTCTTGCTCACGTTCCGCAGTATCCTTACTTGAAGGGCTTTTTCGTCGTCTGCGGACGAGGCTGAGGATGATCGATGGGCGAGGCTCCGTCGGGACTTCGAACAGTCCAGGCTCTTGTACTCGGATGGCGCGCCGACCACAGGCAGATGCGACTGGCAGTGTCCGCTTTGCAAGTGCCTGTACATCACCACGCCATGCTCGTCCATGACCTCGACCCACCCATTTCGATCCAGAGATGCCCGTCGCGCGTTGGCGTCCATGCTGGCGGCGGCACGGTTGCACGCAGCCTCGATCCTTTTTTTAGTCGACCAGCATGGTCCAAGTCTTATCCCTGTAACCGTCGCTTGAGGTCCTCATTGATCGCTCAATGTGTTGCATGCTTCTACCGGTACATAGAGGGGACTGGCGGCAGTGGACTGCCGCGACTTGAAGCGCCGACATAGCTTCATCATCCACGTCATGCAGGTTGGTTATTTGTACTTCAAGTGGTAAGCCACATGGCAAAGGAAAATGGGTCTTCAAGAGTTGTCTCAATTGCATTTCATTGGCTAAAATAATAATGAACGACCAATCACTTCACGCAATCAACCCAACTTCACAGGGTCCCATTTGATTCGCTAAAATAAATTCAAATAAGCCAATCAAATCACTTTATGCATGGATTTCTGTGTATCAACAGCGCATTGTGAATTTCGACGTCAATATTGCAGGTGGGTATGCTGTCCTTTCTCGAGCGACCCATGCCGCCGTCGCCGTGCTCTTCATGCGCTGACAATATCTTCTTGTAGGATGATCTCGTCTCTTCGCCGACCCGTCATGCGACGCATGATGTCCTCGCACGCACTGCCTTTCGCGGCGGCGTCCAACGTCCTCGATGGCAAAATCAACACCAAGTCCAAAGACTTTCTCGACAGCATTGAGCGCATGAATGAGCTGACGAGCGAACTGAAGGTATGTCCATAACATATCGTCATGTGTTTCAGCCATGAACCCATTTGTGAATGCCCTAGGGTCGCTTGGATGTCGTCCGCCTCGGTGGTGGTGAAGCGGCCCGCGCAAAGCATGTGGCGCGCGGCAAGCTGCTCGTCCGAGACCGCATTGACTCATTGGTGGACCCGGGCAGTGCGTTCTTGGAACTGTCGCCTCTCGCCGCCCACGACATGTACGGTACGCCCATCCCCGCGGCCGGCATTGTCACTGGGATCGGTCGCATCCACGGCGTGGAATGCATGATCTTGGCGAACGACGCCACAGTGAAGGGTGGCACGTACTTTCCCATGACGGTCAAGAAACATTTGCGCGCGCAAGAAATTGCGCGCGAAAACCGGTTGCCATGCATTTACATGGTGGACTCTGGCGGTGCGTTTTTGCCGCTCCAAGCCGACATTTTCCCCGACAAGGAGCACTTTGGCCGAGAATTCTACAACCAAGCCAACATGAGCGCGGCGGGGATTCCCCAGATCGCCGTCGTGATGGGGTCATGCACCGCCGGCGGCGCGTACGTCCCAGCCATGAGTGACGAAAGCGTGATCGTGCAAGGCAACGGCACCGTGTTCCTCGGCGGTCCGCCGCTTGTCAAGGCCGCGACGGGCGAAGTCGTGACGGCGGAAGAGCTCGGCGGCGCGGACGTGCATTGCCGGACGTCGGGCGTGACGGACCACTTGGCCAAGAACGACGCGCACGCGATCGAGATTGTGCGCCGCATCGTGTCCAACTTGAACTGGACGTCCAAGGCTTCCGTGAAGCAGTCGTTCACGGACGTCGAGGAGCCAGTGTTCGACCCGGCCGAGCTCGGCGGCATCATCCCAGTGGATAGCCGCAAGCCGTTTGATGTGCGCAAGGTCATTGCACGCATCGTGGACGGGTCCAAGTTTGACGAGTTCAAGCAGCACTACGGCACGACCATCGTGACTGGGTTTGGTCGGCTGTACGGACGCCCCGTGGGGATCATCGCGAACAACGGCATCTTGTTCTCCGAGTCGTCGGTCAAGGCAGCGCACTTCATCGAGTTGTGCTGCCAGCGCCAGATTCCGCTGCTGTTTCTCCAAAACATTACGGGGTTCATGGTGGGCAAGAAGGCCGAGCACGGCGGGATTGCCAAGGACGGCGCCAAGCTCGTCACGGCCGTGTCATGCGCCAACGTGCCCAAGGTCACGTGCATCATTGGCGGGAGTTACGGCGCCGGCAACTACGGCATGTGCGGCCGCGCGTTCAGCCCGCGCTTCCTGTACATGTGGCCCAACGCCAAGATCTCGGTCATGGGCGGCGAGCAGGCGGCGGGGGTGCTCGCGACTGTCCAGCGCGACAATCTGGAACGTGCGGGCAAGACGTGGACCGCGCAAGAGGAAGCGGCGTTCAAGCAGCCGACGCTCGACAAGTACGAAGTCGAGAGCTCGGCGTATTACTCGACTGCGCGGCTGTGGGATGACGGGATCATCGACCCCAAGGACACGCGCAAGGTGCTGGGACTGAGCTTCAGCGCCGCCTTGAACGAAGTGCCGACGCCCACCAAGTTTGGGGTGTTTCGCATGTAGTAGTACAGTTTATAACATGAACGATATACAACATGTCGGTCGTGTTGATAGGTTTAAGCCGACGCTGGCGACGTCCACTTGTGCACAAGCGCGCGTTTCAGTTGATACAATTGCGCTGCTTCGTTCGACGCGTGACACGCGAGAAGGAGGTAGTTGCGAGGCTGAACCATCCACGCAAATCGCATAAAGATCATACTGTACACCGCCATCGCTACGTACAGGTGGTGCGCATGAGCTTAAGGTGTCCAGGTCCAACATGAATGCCTCGAGGAGAAAGGCGCATATATGTATTGGGGTTCGTGGCTTCGTACCACTCGTCATGTTGATCGAAATGTTCTCGGGGGGTTTGTTCATGTCGGCGATGGCCTAATTGACGACGACGCCGCGTTGGTGAGCATCGACACATACATGGAGGAATATGGAGAACGAGGAGAACGGACGTACGGCGGCCACGAAGCCCCAGTTGGCCACGGGGCCCCAGAAGTGCGTGGTCTTGGGGCCCGTCGGATGGTTGACAAACGCCTTGAACCGACCTGCGAACGACATGATGCAAACGCTTATGATGTCACAACCCCATGATGGAGTGTCATGCATTTCGGATAATATTCGAAAATCCGGATACCGAGAGCTCCATTGATTTATCCGGCGACCTTGATTATCCGGTTTTAGCAAGGACAAACAGTGTATTGTAATTGGAATTTGCACGGCCGCCATCGTACAGATACTGATTGGTCATAATGTTAGATTCCTAGGATATGATTGGCCAATTGGTTTAATGTGAGCGTCGACCGAGGCATGGCCCATAGAGCCTGGCGTCATGCTGCTTTCGAGTGCCAAGTCAAGGTGCATATCGCGGCTAGTTCACCTACGTGTATATATGTAGAAGTCATATATTGAAGTGCATACCACATATCTCTTCTGCGCTTACATAGAGCCTCCATTCTATGATTCATCACGGCACTGGACTGCGTTTCTGTATTTCGCATAAGGCCGCTTGCTTTCACGTAAAAGACTTAATGTTGCTCAAACTCCTACCGGTACAGTTTGCTCACTCTTGTGTGGTCACTCATCGGTAATTTAACGTTGGCGTGCATTGCGAGCTTCACGGTAAATGTCCACGAGACTGTTGTCGAACGAGTTTTCAACATCCTCCTTTTGTTTAAGTATGTCGCGAGTGTTGAGAGCATTCAGTTGTAGAGTCAGCCTCCAAATCGAGTTATCGTCCACAACAACCAACTGAGGAAGGAACGAGGATAAAGAGCAAGTAGAAATGCAAAGTGTGTCAAAACTGACATGTTTGGGATGTCAATCTGCCGCCCTATTGCAGGCTCTGTGCTTTCCTGCAATACTTGTTGACAATGAAGTTAACTTATCACAACACATCGAGCTCGATATACAACCGCTGTGACCACGAACACACCAAAAAGCTTGTGATTTCGCCATACTGTATTAAGGTCTGGACAGTGCGTCTATACAAATCTCAATTCGTAGCAAGCCGACCGTGACGTGGTTTGTATACAGTAGTTTGGTTTCACAATGTCAAATGCAAGGTGGACAGATTACTAGCGTAAAACTGCGCTGTGGATGTTGGAGTATATGTAAGCTTACTCTCTGCCAAACTAACAGGACTGTAAACCCAGGGTATTTACAGATCACACCACTAACACTAAATCCATTCCGACCTGTCGTTTCAACGACATACATACCGGTATATATACTGTACCTTCACCATATCACGTCACTGAAACAAGTTCCATCAGTCGCATGGCATTTCTACCTCCAAATTGTCGTGGCTGGATGGAGTTTGATCACCTTTGTGGCTTTGCACATTATAGCCAATAGAAATGCTTAGCTTACAGCTTGACGTGCGTCGTGCAAATTCGATTTATATCACATCAAATTTAAATATCTTGATATTTGTATTTAGGGGTTCTTAATTTCTCGATGGAAGCAGAATTTGCACGACGCTCGTCGTGCACGAAGCCTTATAACCGGATGCCGGTCGTGTAAAAACCGTATTATGTACGGTACAGTTCCATGATGTACTGTAGAGCTATCACTCTTGGCTGCGTACAGTACTGTACAGTACACCTTGTACCTAGTACACGGTAGCCATGGGTTACAGTGTCATGGTACAGTACATATTAGCTTTACCTTCGTACTCTTGTACTGTATGTAGTACGTACGTAGGAGTACTGTACTGTAGTATATTATTGTCGTCGTCATTGCTATTCTGGTGGATGCATCGAAGATTCTTTGTCACCACCGTACTGAGCCTGTACTGTACGGTACACTAAATCGCATTCACAGTTACAAGTACCTGGTAACGTTACAGTACGACCACCCCCTGCAGTATGTTGTATTTCTCATGAACTCCTTGGGAGATGCGCTTAATGTATCCGCGTGTCTGGTATTTATTTACCTTAACTTACACTATGGAGGTACGACTGCCAATGCTACTATCACATATATACATCGCGCCTGTCGATTGGTTCGTTTCCAGCCAATCAAATGAAAGATACTCCTTTCATTCAATTTCATTAGGGAGAAATCGTCTTGCCATTTGTATGCTGTTGAGGCGGCCACACTTTTGACCATTAGACAGGCATCTTCACTTCAGAAAAAGATGCGCGCCAAGCTCAACCAAGGACGCCCGTCCTCGCAGTATGGATCCGTGGGTCCTCTCATGGACGACGATGTGAACTCCCGACGTATGTCCAATGCGAAGGTGCTGCTTGTCGCTGGTGCCGTGAGCATCGTTGCGGCTGGATTCGTCTCGACGTTGCATTCGTCGCCTGCAATCGTCGACAACTCGATCAACAGCCACCCCAAAGTCGAACGTAAACATGTGAGCATCCACGTGGTGGAAACGGCGTACGAGAATGGAACCCCTACGTTGTTCCGCAAGCTGCCTCCCCTGAAGTTCTCCAAGAAAGCGAAGGACACCAAGAAGTCAGGGACGACGACGGCCACGCGCAACAGCACCATCTACATCGACGACTCCAAGGTATTCCAAGAAATCCTCGGCTTTGGGGGCGCCTTCACGGAAGCGTCGGCGCTCAATTTCAAGAAGTTGCCGCGTGCCAAGCAGGAAGAGGTGCTGCGCCTGTACTTTGACGAAAAGACTGGCGCTGCGTACTCGTTTGGCCGCGTGCCGATGAACTCGTGCGACTTTTCCGTGGGGTCGTACTCGTTCGATGACGTCGTGGGAGACGTGTCGCTGGCGCACTTCGACACGAACGTGACCAAGGACACGGAGTCCATCATCCCGTTGCTGCATCGCGCGCTCCAACGTCGGCCGGACCTGAAGCTATTCCTGTCTCCATGGAGCCCTCCCGCGTGGATGAAGCTACCCAACGACAAGGGCAAGTACTCGATGACTGGGTCGGCGACGCCGCTGGGGATCAACCCCATCTACCAGGCGGCATGGGCGCTGTACTTTTCCAAGTTCATTTCGGCGTACAAGCACCACGGCATCGCGTTCTGGGGCCTCACGCCACAGAACGAGCCCATGTTTCCGGCGCCGTGGGAAGCATGCTTTTGGGAAGCCCATTCGGAAGCGACGTTTGTCGGCGACTTTCTCGGCCCTCAGATCCGCAAGGACCACCCGGACGTGAAGATCCTCGTGTTTGACCACAATCGCGATGCTGTGACAGAGTGGGCCGCCGCCGCATACGCCAAAGCGAGCGAGTACGTGGACGGTGTCGCATTTCACTGGTACAACGGCGACGGCCGCGAATTAGACGGCGCGCTGTACTACAACCACCTGAATGACACGCATCACTTGGATCCGTCCAAGCTGGTGCTGGCCACGGAAGCATGCAACTGCCCGGGCGTGGCTTCCACCGCCGACGTCGCGTGGTTCCGCGCGCAGCGGTACGGCCACGACATCCTCTCGGACGTGAACAACTACGCCAACGGCTGGGTCGACTGGAACCTCTTGCTAGATCACGAAGGCGGCCCCAACCACCTGAACAACAAATGCGATGCGCCGCTGCTGCTCACGCCGGACGCCACGAGCTTCATCGTCCAGCCATTGTACTACTACATCAAGCACTTTTCCGCGTTTGTCCCGCCAGGCTCCAAGCGCATCGCCGCTGACGTCCGCGTCTCATTCGATACCCCCGGCACGGACCATGCGCTGCTGCTCAAGTACCCGTCGGCCGCGCATGTGTGCGACGGCAGTATCCGGCAGGCGGTTATCCGGACACCCGACAACAAGTTGCAGGTCCAGGGCACGGACTTTTGCATTGATGTAGTCCGCGAATGGTTTGGCGATAAGGTGGAGCTGACCATGTGCATTTACACGCAAAACGTGTACACTTTTAACGAGGATGGAGCGATTCAGTTTCAGGGCAAGTGCTTGTCGGTCGCGCACGGATCGACCGAGAACGGCGCCGCGGTGACGCTAGAAGCATGCGACCAGTCCACGGCCCAACAGTGGCATGTGGGACAAGGTGTGGTGACCAACCATGCGACAGGGTTTTGCCTCACGGCCGGCTACGCGTTTGCGCAAGCGACGGCGTTCCAGACCCCGTCCAACCGCACGGTTGTGGTGGTCCAGAACGAACACTCGCAGGTGGACGCAACGTTCGACCTGTCGACTTCCCACGGTGTTGTGCACACGGTCGTGCCTAAGCGAGGCATCCGCACGTTTTACTGGGACCCGTAAGAAGAAACAGAACACGAGCTTTTGATTGCGCAGGATGCGGGCTGATCGGTTATGATAAGTACCCTGTATTCCTCCTGATGACGAAACAAATAAGGTATTGCAAGCATCATTTCGACAGAAGTTGCTACAAATAGGATTTTCAATAAATAGCTTCAGTAAAACTTAAAAGTTCTTTACGTTATTACACCATTTTGCGGTTAATAATGTCGAAAAATATCTGGTACATGTATATTACTGTATATTTCGTGGAATTCCATTTAAATTCACGGAGTTTCATTATATTTCGCGACTTTGGCACTTCATTTCGTGGGAACGTTGAATTCACTCATTATATTTCGTGACTGCCAGTATATTTCATGATTTGCTCAGTTAGATTCGCAAACATCCAGTATATTTCGTGACTTGGCCAATATATTTCGCATAAATGTTAACGCATTGGGTGAAAATATGCAAGACTGTAACCAATTCGTCGTCCATGTGTTCGGCTCTGTGGTCGAGTGGAGTGATACAAATGATTCGCATCAACTCCAACGGCAATCAACAGTACGCATATACTACGTGGTATCAGAAGCATATCTTGAATGACTTGGTCACGCGATGCCACCCAAGCGACTACCGGTATTGCTTTGCTGACATCGGGACGTTTCTGTACGTGCCTCGTCGGCGTGGCTGACATTCGTTTGTTACTAACGTTAGGTAAGTGCTTACTGGGCTTCAAGGTAATGGAGGTTCATCGCCATAGGAGAGGATGAGGGGAAGGTTGCAATCCATGGGGAGGTGCTGCATCGAGAAGGCTTGAAAAGTGCGCGAAAGACAGTTTCGCGCACTGCTTTCTGACCAATCAGAGCGAGTTGAAGTGTATTGGCCTCGTCACGAAATATAATGGATGTTTGCTAATTGAGCAAATCACGAAATATACTGGCAGTCCACGAAATATAATGAGTGAATTCGACGTTCCCACGAAATTAACAGTCAGTGCCGAAGTCGCGAAATATATTTCATACTTCGAAGTACTACGTAGTACAAAACTAAGTTGAAGTGTGGTACTTTAGTGGCGGCAATACTACAATCAATCTTTTTAGCCAATTAAATTGCTCGTTTTCTCGATTAGTTGGCGATTTCATCAATCCCCAAAATAGGCAAATATGACTGAAAAGCACAATAAAGGTGAAGACAATAATACCGTAGTGTACACGTACATGTTGTTGGTTCCCACAAGGTTAATGTGCGGAGAAATATTCCTATCATATATGTACTGTACTACAGCTAACGTTCGTTAGGCATGGGGGGAAATGAGGAACGTTATTAATAGTCATATTTCCAGTTTGTGTCCTTGACAATATTTTTTTTTATTGTTACTACTAGCGTAACGTAGTACTTCGAAGCATACAATAGATAACGGGTCCAGACCAAGAATCGTGCGATATACTGGTAGTTAACAACAGTACAGTACTACAAGGGTTCAAGGAACACGCCGCTGCGCTAGTATGCTGGCAGGAATTAGGAATAACGCTTCGCGCATGAAATATCACTTTAGTAACAATCCAAATGTATACTACACAGCAACGTGCGCCACCAACCAAGAGCCTTGACACCTCGGAACCCCGGCGCTCGGGAACAAAAGTTACGTCGAAGGTAGTCTTCATTCTCCGGAGTTTGCGCATGGCCAGGGGTAACTATCGCGAACCCCTGGCAATGCGCCGAACCCCTCAAGAAAATCAGAAGCAAGCCTACCTCCGCTACGTACGCTGGGAAAGGCCGCGCACCTCCACTCAGATGCAGACAACAAACGAGTTAAACCACGGTGCTATGATTATCACTTGATCGCAAAAGCCAAAGTTACAATTGGTTGACCTACTCGTGGTCGCCACCATCTAGAAATACCATAGAGAGCACCAGCACAGCAGTATCAAGCCACACATGACCAGTCAGGAAGCCCAGGTCATAGAAGATATAAGCGATTGCCAGGCCAGTGGCGGCGCGGAGAAGTATGGTTGGCGCGTCCATGGCTGCTGCGAAGGCGGGGTACAGTGGGCAAATCGCTAAATGATTCTGGACTTCTTCAACACACACAAACGCATGTTCCTTTCTATTTGCTCTCTCGGATGTGCGCCACAACCCTTGATGGTCGTTGCAGCTGCCCCCACACGGAGTTCACCTAAAACCTGCGTTTTATGCAGCAGCAATAAGAAAAAAACATTGAAATTTTGTGCTTTCTCGGGATAATCCATCATGTTAGGTTGCGACATCGACCGAGATGTTCAACACGCAATCTATCACGTTGTGTGAGTCATATTTTGCACATGCCATCGCCACGGATTGAGTTCTGGGTGTTTCAAAATGGCAATGGTCGTGCAAGGCCCAGCCTGTCTTTGCACTCCCCAACCGATTCCACCGTTCATCGATATATATACTACGTAGTATATATATTACACGTTTTTGCAGTTAAGTTGGACGAATGCCCGATATAATTGGCCGTGTGCCCAATGAAAATGGAAATCACGCAATAAAAAGTCAATTCAATATAGAAATGGTCGTTAAACGACACATGCAGCGTCGTTTTATTGACGTCACATACCAACATCTATGTTGCCCATGGCCTCCGCGCGTCCATCGAGGGTGCGTACCTTGAGGTTAAATCGAAAAGTGAGCTCTGCGCGTGACAGATTCAAATTTTGGACGGAGTTGGAAGTATGGACGAAAAGTTGAAGTATAGGGGCAATACTTTAATTGACATCATTACCAGAGTTCGTGGGGGTTCAGCGACGTCCATGCTGTGCGTTCCTCGGTGATTTGAATAATGAGCATGCAAAGTGTTGGAGGAAAGCTGTGCGCGCATTATGAACTTTAACTATACTTTATTCTCAAGTATAAATTTCGAATTCTTGCCTTGGCGCGTTTTCGTCCGAACTTCAACCATGATGTTTCCACCAAAACTGATTTGCACTTATTCCATTTTCATCGGGCACACGACACAATTCATCGGGCAGATGGCCAATTGGTTGGGCATACGGCTAATTATATCGGGCACATGACATCCGTGTGCCAAATTAAACGGGCACATGGCCAATTATATCGGGCACACCACCAAATAAATATATCGGGCACACGGCCATATCGGGAATTCGTCCAACTTAACTGCAAAATGGTGTTGTACTTATTATATAAGTACTAGTAATATATATGTATTTAATCGATAGTCGGAGTACTATAGTATGATAGAAGTACGGACAAACAGCGCGGATGCTGCCTCCGTAGGCCACGGACCAACGAGATCAAGTACGAATGCCATACATCACATCCCAACAACAACATCATTTATGTCGTCCAATTAAAGGAAGTGGACTTGCTACAAAAGGTCGTACCGTTTTGGGTATCCAAACTGACCAATCACATCGCAGCATCGAAACCGTTTCAGCGGGACGTCGGACGCAATGGCCATTTGTCAAGGCGAATCGTTCGGCATGGCATCCCAAGTTCAGCGACAGGCGATTCCCGCCGCGACCGCATCAGCCACGCCCGACTTCAAAGGTGCGTCGATGCTGACGTCGTACGTCGTCACATGTCGACGCTAGCGGACCGACAGATCAAGGCGTTGTGCCAGCTCTCCAACATTGTCCGATCCATTGGGTCGTTTGTGGTGCTATCGCTTCTTTCCTTGTCGAATCCATCCTTTCAAGGTACACATCTCACCAGTTGAAATAGAGCTCTTCAAACCATGCAGTCGCCCGCCCGTGCGACTGGCCGATGCCCGGTGTCACCAATACCTACCATCTAAAATACTTGGACGGCGGCTCGAGCCGCTTCCGCAAATGTGCTAAATATTAGATTTAAACGTGTATTGTTGTATCTATGTTGTTGTATATATGTACAGTACCTCCTCTATGGTTTACACTGTTAGCTAAAGTTTAGTAATGTACTATTACTACCGGTACCAAAGTCCCCGCTAAACCCATGTTTTTTCGGCCTGTGTGAAAGCCATCAAATACATATAATGTACGAGGTTCTTTCATACGGCGAGTGTGCGGCAAGTATTCACCACCTCGTGACTCTGTGTCAATGCACATTGTAGATGTATTAATATTGTAGTGATGTGTCGATAACGTTAACAGTACCATATAATGTTACGAGTGATTCGAACATTGGACATTTCGTTATTGTGCACGTCGTTCGGTCGTTGTCGCAGGATTGTTGCAGGGTGCAAATAATTTTATACGGATACAGTACTTGGGAGAAATAAGATTGATTAAACATAGAATAACGCACGATACGACTTTATTGGTCGAGGTTTGTAACGGACGAGGTTTTCATTGGCAGTTGGACAGCCAATGCACCGATTTGATTGGGCCGTGTCTCTTGGGATCAGAGGTAACATGAGTTGCATACAGTATACTGTTAGATACTACTTCGAAGTATTAATAGTAAGTATCGACGACCAGTAGTTTAAGCGAAAAACGTTAATAACTTTACTTCAATTTATCGTGCACACGACCCTAAGTAGTATCAGCTTATTTCACGCAGTAGATGCAGCCAATGGATTCATTTATAAAAAGCACAAGAGATTGGATTGTCAAGTCGATTCGACATTGGAGTGGGGTACTCAATCGAATGAGCAGCATCAAATCGGCAGACAATCGTTCGGCCAATCAAAACCCACAAAAATCATCTAGTGGCCAGTCAGATTCACTCTTCGAACCGGCTGGCGCATCGACCAATTTTATTTGGAACTATTCATCACTGTGGGTAATATCAGCCAATCAGATGTCGATTCGACAATATCGAAGCAATGCCCAATCAAATCGTCGTATTCATATCTACTCTTCGAAACAGCTCGGCACCTGGTGAAGATCTTGTGAAACAGCACACCGGCCAGTTGCAATGATGGCACGTCTAGGCTGCGTCGTCCTCGTAGCGGTGGCGCTGCAGGGTAAAGTGCCATCCGTGGACGCTTCCGTGGCATTTAAGATGACTCGTCTGAGCACGACGCACGAAGAGATGTTTCTCCAGGCTCTCAACGACGAAGGTAATAGCAGCAGCGCTAGTGGCGGCGGTGGCGTCGCGAAGACGAAGCTGCTGCTTGGTCAAGGCGTGCACTCTGTGGAAGTGTTCTTTGGTGGCCAGCCGCGTGTGCTCATCGTGGACACTGGTAGCGCTGACACGGCGTTTCCATGCTCGGACTGCACGAATTGCGGCAACGGCCACTACAACACGTTCTACAACTTCACCAGTGGGTCGCGCTACGTGTCGTGCGAAGACAATGCAGCATGGGGGCTCACATCATGCAAATCGTGCTCAAAGGATGACAAGTGTGTGTTCGCAGAGCAGTACGTCGAAGGTAGCGGGTGGGAAGCCTTTAAGGTCAAGGACTCGTGCTACTTCGACCAGAACCCGAATGTCGTGGCCGACGTCGTGTTCGGGTGCATGCATACCGAGAGCGGGGCATTCTTGAGCCAGGAAGCGGATGGAATCATGGGCATGTCCAGGGACCCTGACGCGCTGTTTGTCCAGTTCTACGAACATGGGGCGACCAAGATGAAGGGCTTCTCGCAGTGCATCTCCTCTACCGGTGGGCACATGGTCTTAGGCGGGCTGGATACGTCGGTGCACAATCCCGGCGCCGAGATGGTGTTTACGCCGCTGCGGACGACGGGGTATTCATACTGGACCGTATCGATGGAATCGTTGGCTGTCGATGGCCTCGTGGTGGACGTTCCCAGTAGCGTTTACAACCAGAACCGCGGTTGTGTGTTTGATAGTGGCACGACGTTCGTGTATCTGCCGAGCGCAGCCGCCGGCCCATTTCAATTGCAGTGGACGGCGGCGGTGTTAGCAGCTGGTCTTGACCATGCCAAGTTTGCCCCATACCGAGAAGGCGGTGAATACGTGATTCGGTCGCCGAGTGTGCTGCTCCAGTTGCCGACGTTGTCGTTCAAGTTTGCCAACAACGCTGTGATGCAACTGCCACCGACACAGTACATGGTGTACAATGGCGACTTCAAGTACACTGCGACAGTGTTCTTTCAAGACTTTGCCCATGCGACGATCCTGGGCGCGTCCATGCTAGCCAATCACAACGTGCTGTACGACATGACCAATCACCGCGTCGGGTTTGCCGAAGCCAACTGTGACAGTGTGGACGCTGCGTACTACTCTGGCGTCACGGCCTTGCTCGTGACAGATGTGGGTGGGGACACGTTTACGCCGGAGCAATCATACGTGCAGTGGTTGCTTCAAATGCCGAGCTTGGCGGGGTTTGTGCTTGGCGTAGTGATGTTGTTTGTGGGCAGAGAAGTGGTCGATGTGGTGTCCAACGCGATGACCAGAAACGGAATGTTTGTAGATGCGGTCGAAATGAGTGACCAGCCTGCCACCAGTCGAACCACATTCATGGAGTTATAGACGCGATATATATTATATATAACACGAAGAAGACTGTTCAGTTAACGTTATAGAACGTACGATATGAATAGTAACATGCGTTCCAGGATTGCATTGGTGGTATGGTAAGGATAATATAGACTGATATTAAAGGATGATGTTCAGTTTGCCCTGCAAATTGCGCTATTAACCCGCTAGCAGTGCAATGACTCGTGTCACTGCTTCTAGGCCGCCTTGTTTTATACAAGCATCTGCATTGATGAAATAGTAGGCAGGGGTTAATGGATAACGTCAGTGTGTTGTGGCAATGCCAGGTGTCCACGGCTGGTGACAACGTGGTTGTGAGGACCAGAGGTAGGGAAACCTATATTCTCGACAAGTGCTTGGCGTCCATCGAATAACTTATTCTATAAGTACTACGTAATATTCACTTGAAATAAATATAAAAGTTATTCGATGGACGCCAAGCACAGAAATTAGTGTGTTTTGAAGGAATAAATAAGTTCTAGTAGTACTGTAGTAATTCATAAAGTATCAAAACCAGTAGGTGGCTGGCGTAAAATGCCAATCAATGGCGTATGTGCCAATTAATACTTCGAAGTAACGTATAAACTAAGCCAATCACTGATCCCTAAATTGGGAAAGCGCCAATCACAGAGCAAACCTCTGAATATGTATACTCGTAGCCATACAGCATACATATATGATGAGCTGTATACAGCTCAATTGTGCGAAATACATTGCACGTTGATAGATAATTGGTGGATTGCCCTGAAAATTGTCTTCAATTTAGGGCACTTCAGGATTCAAAAAGGATGCCTCAATCAGGAATTATGGCCATTCTCCTAAAACAAAATAAATATTTTAATAATTTCAAAAATTTAGATTTTAAAAATATTTTTTTAAAATTAAATTACTCAATTTCTATATTTTATAACGATAAATTAAAAATATTTATATTCATAGATTTATTTCTTTTTAAAATAAAAATAAAATAATAAAGAAATAAAAAAAAAATGTATTGCAACAATTGGCATTCTACGTATACCAGCAATATTAACAATTGGGCCATGTCACATCGTCAAATAGTGTGTAAATTGGTATTTGCGTCATGCAAAAAATACTGCCATCTATTTGATCAGTTCCAAGAACTTTTCTCCACAGTGGCCTTTGATACGGGAGGAGACGTCGGAACACGGGCGCCGTTTGTCCTCGAGGTTCACGGCTGCACGTAGCCACACATGGCGCACGGTTCTTCTGGCCACATCAAAGTCAACCGCAAAAGCAATGAATGCGCCACGAGGTAGTGTTGATTGCGGCGTGACAAGTGCTAGCAGCCGATGGAGGATGGCATTGCGGTCCGTGTTCGTCAGATTCTTGCCACGTTTCCCGCGCATGACAGTTTGAAAGGGTTTGTCCGTGCATATTATCCGGATAAATACCATATACCCGGGTACGGTGCGGAGCCTGGAGACGTCCATGTTATATTGGATAAAGTATTGAGCTTTGCATGCATGATTGCTGGTTTGATTGGATGTTTTTTGGTGCGAAGATCTCCTATTGGTGATCCATGACTTCTCCTCTACAATTACAAATACATACCTTTTGAACATTATACTTCATCTGTTTTCAAGTTTATCCACGAATTCTTCTGGTTGTAGCAAACATTTTCGGATGGTACTATATAATACTACCTCTGCACCAATTTACTTGGGACATTTCGCTCATTTTTTTACCCAATTTTAACGAGCTATACCTTATTTGAAAGAATTTAAAAAATTAGATGTAGTGTTCTTTGAACGAAAAGCGTGATTAAATTATTGGCTTGTGTCCCAAGTATTCTGGATTAACAGTAAGTACATGTTCGAACTGTCCCAAGTATATTGGAGACTCGTCTCTGAAATCTGTCTAATGTGTCAACTAGGAATAAAAAAATTCTCCTGCTTGCATTTCACACATCAGTATAAACTGAAAGAAATAAAAATACATACTAGTACTACTTTTCCTACCTCTTAAGAGAGGACGACCAGGATACAATGCTCCTGTGACAGAATGACGATCATCATTTGTGCTTCCACTCGACTAACTAACTAGTCCCTGTAGCTCCCTTTCCATACCACGGGGTTCCTCCTTGTGCATCTTCTACGTAAGCATGTTTGCTTTCTTGAGGTTATGCTACGATTGGAAGAACCTGCACTCATGTAGTTCAATAACGACCCACACTCTTGACCTTTGCAATGGCCACACCATTGTACAGTAAATGTATAAATCTGTCAGATACAATGGCCATCAACAAGCACCCAGCTGGAATCGCGGTTTGACGTGTGCGACATCATCAGCTTGCCCCTTCGAATTTGCCCTGCCATACATAATATCGACGAACGTAGACACAAACAGTTCTATGGAGTCACAGTACATGTGCATACGCTCCGTAGCTCGCTCTTTCGGCCGGCAATAGTCTCTGCAGAGGGTGTAGCTCGAAGGGTCCATTATGATTAGTGGGAAATATCCTCTCTACTGATTTGGACAAGGAGTACGTGAGACAACAAGCAGCACCAGGTCATATGTGGTTGTTGACTGTTTCTTGTCAGCAACATATGCACTTTAAACGGTATCATTTCATGCTGGTCAGTTGTACCGGTACGTAGCCTCCACGTCAATGAACCAGAACGAGTTTCATTAACTGACTTCAGCTTCGGGAATAAGTACTAACTATATCCATATAGTCCATGTTGGCAAAGATGAAACCCCGCGCGCGCAGCCCAATGCCATCTGACCATGCGTCCGCGTTGTGTGCAAGTGGTGAGGCATCCCATACAGTCAGTACACACACACCACCAGTGCATTGTAGTCCAGCAAAATAATGTAACTATTACAGTAATAGTATAAGATACTTCAAGTCGAAAAACACACGACGGGCGTGACCAATATCCTACTGTTGACTCGCCCAACCAAGGTTGGTCACAATGCCATTGCAATGGACAGGCCATTGTAAACAATATCACTATCTGTAGCTCAAATCACTTGATGTTTGTATGGTCGTTGCACCAAGTAGTCGCAAATGCATCAATCCGAAAAGTCATTTGACATCTCACCCACAACCGCATATATATATATATATATATATGCCTCAAGACATCCGCCTTCGACTTGCGGCGATCTCTGAGCAGGTCCACCACCTTCAGCTACAGTATCGAGGCCGGTGCAAGTACAAGTCGGGCAAGTGCACGAACGAGCGATCGACCAAGGACAATGGGTTGCCTCACACGCTATGTGAGCCGCACCGACTGCAACACAACAAGAACCAACGCAAGTCGGACGTGAAGCGGCGTCGACAGAAGCGACTCGACCGAAGCAAGAAGTCCAAGGAGCCGACCGTCGCACGCAGAGCTGTCACCTCCAAGGAGGCAACGTCGGGGCGACGCGGTCGAATCCAGACGAAAGTTGCGACAGCAGACGAATCCAGCATTGGCCACGATGACGCGGCAATCACTCCCACTCCGATCGGCCTGGTCAAGTGGAACGACGAGGGGTGGACCTTCGAAGACATGTGCATCCTGCGTGAAATCATCATCTCGTAACCCCATGCGAATGGTGGAAGGTTTCGTGCGTCTGGTTCGTCGATGGATTATTTAAGACCACTCTTATTCGCCAATGCTTACGATTCACCACCACGCGTACTGGCCCCACGATGCCATCTACAGTATCATGCAGCGACCACATCAAAGCCTGCAAGGAAGCCGAGATGGACACATGACTGTGGGGATCATAGGATGGTTAGCTTTGTTATTGCTTTTAATCGTGCTGGTGGAGCTAGTCACGCAAACAGTGGGCTTGAAATTCAGGTTTGTCATGACGTGAAAGGTCATTTTGGCGGAATTTTGGAGATTTTTTCTGATAAAAACAACCGTATCAGCGGCCTGTGATTGGCTAGAATTTCGGTAGCCGTTACATTTCGTTGTTCTGGAGAGTACATCATAGTAACGATGGCGGCGAAGGAGGACCGGCGGCGGGTGTTCTTGTTGCCACAGCGCATGCCGTTTGTCAGTGGCATGACTAATCGCTACGACGATGAGTTCCCAATGGAGCTGGAAGGAATGGTATGATATCTTTCCAAGTACTGGCGATTGTAACGCGTGAGATGCAGGTGCCGGAAGCGCACTTCGCCCAAGCTATCAACCAAATCAACAACACCCTCACAGACTATTGGCCATGCTTCTTCTGCGTGTGCTGTGGCTACCTATGCTGCATCTGTACGGGCGGGTTGTCCTTACTGTGCCCCTACATGTGCATCAGTGACGTACGCCTCCCCAGTATGCTCCTTGCACGATATGTACTAACTGCTTCTACAGGCCGAGCAATACACCCGTACGCTGATCGACCGCATTAACATTCGACCTTGCTTCAAGGATGCAGACATTCAGTGGAAACTTGTCAAGAGATGCTGTCGATCCTGGGTTGAGATATCTATTCCCGTGGTAAGCCGTTGATCTTTCCCTTCTTGTCCTCATCATGGCGACGTAGAAACCCCAAACACACGATCCTGTGGTGGGAGCGTACCAGACGGTACTGGCAGTGCCCATTGCCGCCACATCCGCCAACAGCAAGCTCTATGGAAGTTCCGAAGCGGTGGTTTAAAGTGTCATGTGATGTGTCTTGATAATGTATCAGTACTATGCTTTCCTGAGATTCGCGAATCGTTTTCGTATGATTGAAAGGGCTTGCAAGTCGTTGCAAGGGCGACATGTAGTCGATGACGTTCGCCCATGGAAGCGGTCCTCGATGCAATTCTGAATGTCGGCTCGACATGCCCAAACATCGGCGGTGATGTGCGTGCGCCTAATGCAGTGCGACATGGTGCAGTTTGTGCTCGTATCCAAGGCCGCGTGCATGCAGTCGCACAAGCCATCACGAAGTGGCTTCTTCAGATTATAACGTTGGAGCGCGAAATCGGCCTCAGATTCCCGGCATTCGAACGTTTGATTGGTTACAAATTCCTTTTACTAGCCAATCAAATGTAGTCAATTAGTTGTACGTTTCTACCATTGGCTATAATGATTCCTTTTTTACCTGGTTTCCTCTATATTTTTATATATCGTACTGTAAGTCGAAATGCGGGACCTGTAAAAATACATCTTTGTGATCCAATGGCATATCCATACAAATAGGGGGTCTTGACTTTCCCTTTCCCATCGCCGCCGCCGCGTCCGTCCTTTCTGCATACAACCGTTGGAAGAGGTAACGTCGTAGCATGGATTCGAATGAACTCAAGCAAGTGGAGATGCTGTGCACGGCGTTGTACCAGTCAAGCAACGAAATGGAACGGTCCATGGCCCAGCAAAGCATCCTAGCATTGCAAAGTTCTGCCGAGCACATTCCGCGATGCCAGTATATCTTGGACAACTCCACGTGCATGTATGCATTGCTAGTCGCGAGCACGAGTTTGACGAAGCTCATCTCGACGCACTGGAACAATTTCACGCCGTCCCAACGCATCGACATCCGCAACTACGTGCTGGCGTACTTGGCGCAGAAAGGGCCGAACCTTGAAAAGTACGTGACCACGTCGCTCATTCAGCTCGTATGCCGCCTGACCAAGTTTGGCTGGTTCGACGACGAGCAATTCCGCGAGCTCAACCACGAAGTGTCCAAGTTCCTCCAAGCCACGGTGGACCACTGCATCATCGGGCTGCAAATTCTCAACGAACTCGTGACCGAGATGAACCAGCCCGTGAGCGGACGCAACCTGACGTTCCACCGCAAGATCGCCGTGGCCTTCCGCGAAGCATCCTTGTACCACATATTCCAAGTCGCGCTCACCACGGTCAAGACACTCCAGATGAAAAACATCCCCGGCGCGTCGCCCGACCAGGAGAGCCGCATGGCCGACTTGGCGTTGAACCTGGCGATCAAGTGCTTGTCGTTTGACTTCATCGGCACGAACCCGGACGAATCGTCGGAAGATGCCGGCGCGTTGCAAGTGCCGTCGTCGTGGCGGCTGCTCATCCAAGAACCTGAAACGATGCAGCTCCTGTTTGACTTTTACCACAGCTCCGCCGCGCCCAATTCCGCGCGATGCCTCGAAGCGCTCATGCTGCTGGCATCCGTGCGTCGGTCGCTGTTTGCGCCAGACAAGGAGCGCGCCACCTTTTTATCGCACTTGTTGGCCGGCATCTGCCGAATCATCTCTACGCAGCAAGGACTGTCCGAACAGGACAACTACCACGAGTTTTGCCGCCTCCTGGGTCGACTCAAGTCCAACTACCAGCTCTCCGAGTTGATGAAAGCCGACTCGTTTCAAGAATGGATGGACCTGACGCCGACGTTCACAGTGAAGTCGTTTCAGCAGTGGCAATGGAGCGCCAACTCGATCCACTACCTCCTTGGGCTGTGGTCCCGCCTCGTTGCGGCCTTGCCGTACGTACGCGCCGAGCGCAATGGCGCGGCGTCCGTGAGCTTCCTCGATCAAGCGATTCCCCGCATCGTGCAGTCATATGTCCAATCGCGGCTCGATTCGGCGCAGCAAGTGAGCCAAGACGATGGCCTCGACGACCCCCTCGACGACGAAGGCAGCTTGTCAGAACAGTTTGACAAACTGCCCACGATCTGCCACTACAACTACCGCCAAATCGGCGATTACATGCTGCAAGTATTCGATTCGCTGCACGCGCAATACCAGAACGTGGTGACCAACTCGATGGGCGGCGATGACGGCAATGCCGACGATGATGATGATAGCATGACCCGCGGCCTCAACGGACTCGAGATGCAGCTGGCGTGGCTGATTTACATTGTCGGGTCTGTTATCGGCGGCCACTCGTACACGTCGGCGCAGCTCAACGACGGCGACGAGCTCGTGGACGCGGACTTGTGCCAGCGAGTGTTTCGCACGATGAAGGTGGTCGAGCATCGGCTGATCAACTCTGGCGGCGCGCGCAAGTGCCACGTGCACTTGGAGCTGGCGCTGCTGCATTTCTTTAGCTACTTTCGGCGGTCATATATTGGCGAGCAGCACGGCATGCCGTCCATGTCACAGCTGACCGTCACGTCCCCGACTGCGGCCTCGTCGTCCGCTGAAAATTCCATGTCGGCCAAGCACAAGTCGTACCAGCGCATGTTTGAGCGCATGGGATGCGGCGATCACACCGTCGTCGTCAACATGATTGTCACGCATGTGGGCCAGAATCTAAAGTTTTGGGGCGACGACGAGCGCGTGATTTCGCAGACGCTGACTTTGTTTCTCGATATTGCGTCGGGGTACTCGTCGGGGAAGCTGCTGCTCGGGCTGGACACGGTGCAGTACTTGATTAGCCACCCCACGGCGGAAGAGTTTCCGTTTCTGGCTGTACCGTCCAATACGCGGCACCGCACGAGCTTCCACAGCACGATCTCGAGGCTGCTGTTTACGACCGCGTTCGACGAGTCCACGGACCGCTTTGACGAGTACATTGCGCCCCTCGAACAAGTGCTCGCGAAGCTCATGCACATCCAAAACTACCGCCACCCGGACGTCCGCGAAGCCATCATCGGCATGTGCCGAGACCTCCGCGGTGTATTTATTTCGACGCACAACAAACGCACGTACAACGCCATGTTTGATCTGCTCTACCCCACGTACATGCCGGTGTTCACCAAGGCGGCCGAGGTCTGGTATGACACGCCCAGTGTCATGAACGCGCTGCTCAAGTTCCTCCAAGAACTCGCGTACAACAAGTCGCAGCGCGTAGTGTTTGACCAGAGCTCGCCCAATGGCATTTTGCTCTTTCGAGAGCTCAGCCGCGTGATTGTGGCGTACGGCACGCGCATCCTCAACCACCCCGTCCACCGAGACGCGTACGCGGAAAAGTACAAGGGCATGTCGTTGTGCATGGGCATCTTGTTTCGCGCACTGGGTACGTACATGACACATATGGATCGGATTGTTGTGTTGAGATGGATGTGGAAATATCGTCTATGGATTGGTGTAACGAACGTATTGATATATTGAAATCGTCCAGGGATTGTTTATGTTAAAATATGATTGTATATGTTGGAATCTTCCATAGATTTTGATGCGTTTTTGGGGATTTTGAAAATATTCCTGGGCTTGAATATTTTTTAAATATGTTTAGGTTTATATAGTTTGAAATCCTTCGTTTTAGGTGTATCTATTTTGATATAGTCAAGGGATTATATTTTTTAAATAGTTTTAGGTATATATTTTGAAATAGTCGAGGGATTATCTATTTTGATATAGTTTTAGCTATTTTGGTATAGTCCAGGGATGATATATATCCCTTGACTATATCAAAAAAGGGATTGTATGTTTTGAAATATGTTTGTGACTATATATATTGTGGATTCGATACGAATTTCCAGACCCCGTCGAATCGAATAATCACGAATTGACGCTATTGGCTAATCCACTTTTGAGTGCATTTGATTGGCCCTTATATAAAGGACAAGTATATTCAACCAATCAGAACTCCAGCGTGATTCACTATCGATTCGACAAATAGCGCGAATGTTGGAAGTTTATAGCGAATTCACAATATATATATATATATTTGGAATCGTTATCTGAAAAGCAGCCGATGACAACATGGTTGACGGTAGGCGGCAATTATGTGAATTTCGGCGTGTTCAAACTGTACAACGATGCTGCATGGGATCAAGCGCTCGAAGTGTGCTTGCAACTGGCACTGGCGATTCCGTTGGACGAACTCATGGTATTGTCGTCGAAATATTTATTTATTTATTCCTGTTGTTGTTTATGTATGATATTAGACATATCCCAAGGTCAAGACGACGTACTTTTTCTTTTTGGAGATGCTGTTTCGCAACCAGATCGTGTCGGTGGTATCGCTCGAGTCGTCGGTGTTTTCGCAGCTGGTGCAGAGTTTGCACGAAGGCGTCAACTCGTACGACTTGACGATCGCGGCGCAGTGCGCGACGGCGGTGGACCACTTGGCTTCGTTGTACTACCACGAAACCAAAAAGAAGAAGGACTCACCCGTCAAGCACGCGCTGGCGATGCACTTGCAAGCGTACCCGTCGCTGTGGTCGACGCTGTTGTCGTCGCTGTTTAACATTTTGATTTATGGCGATGCGACGTCCCAGTGGGCGCTGTCGCGGCCGATTCTGTCGCTGTCTTTGTGCAGTCCGGACGCACTGACGGCGTACCAGCACAGCATCGCCGCGTCGCAAGGCACCGACCAGCACAAGGCCCAAGTGGACGATGCGTTCACCCGACTGTATCAGGAGATCCTGCCGTCGCTCGAAGCGTCCAACCGCGACCGATTCACGCAAAAACTGGGCCAGTTTCGGAATACGCTGCGTAGCTTTTTGACCATCTCGTAGAAATAACCACATCCCAAACAAGTGACAATAGGATGTGTGATGTGCAATCGACGCTACGAAACGAAGGACGAGTAACTTACCGCTACTGTAGCTACTGTACATATCATTGATCCCCACCTACTAGAAGTAAATATTGGCCTTTTCAGCTGAAATTTGGACTGTGATTCGATTTACTCAAAGTTAGATTTTAAGTTTATGCAATATATAGTATACGCATTTGAAGATGAACATTTGAACTGGGCCAAATTATACTATTTCAATAGTAGTAGTAATGTGTAGTATACGCATTTGACAGTGAAGATGAACATTTGAACTGGGCCAAACTATACTACTACTATTTTAATAGTAGTAGTATCGATTACTATAATATTAAAATAGTAATCGATGATTAGTTGAAAATTTAACGTAAAAGTCCATAATACAGAATTCGTAAGGTGAAACAGTAGGTTTTAGTAGGCTCGCAAGGTGAGCTGCCTTACGAATTCCATAAATCGATCTGAAATAGTTCAAATTTTATTGAATGAAGCTTCATCTTTGTATGGAATAATTTAAATTCCTCTAAACGCATCTTTTTGATGAATTCGTAAGGCAGGCTGCCTTACCAAATTTCTGTCCAATTATATGATAGAAAGGTGAAAATAACTGGCCAATAATAGGATCGTTCTATTCTCTTTGCTACATTGCTAGCTGTAGCTTGTGAGCTACAGTACTACCGGTAGAATGCGATCCCTTGCTCCTATCCGCACGCTTGAGCCTGGGCGATGGTCATGCAGTATGACTTGGTCCTCGTCTTGTCGCAGCATAGGTAGTGGTTGTTCTTGGCGTAGTGGGCGCTCTGGTGGAAGTGCTGGGCTCGGGTGCCGTCGCACATGCCCCCGACCTTGGTCGACTTATTAGTTTTGCATCTTGGCATAAACCAAGTAATCACATGGGCCAAGCTCGTCAACTACTGGTACTGTAAATAGGTCGTTTACAGCAATTTACTCGTTGATCCTGAAACCCCGAAACGTCGCGGGCAAACGACTTGATTTGGTCAAATTTTTGGTGACTATGCCCCGATGATATGATTCTTACTGACGGTAGTTTTACCCATCACTTCCTCATTTTGACTTGGAAGGACCTTGGGTGTTGGCCCCAGTCCACCGAAACCATGAAGTAGTAGTAGTAGTGATGCTGCTGGACCTTCCTAACGAGAAATTCGCATCGACCATGCGTGACTTCAATAAGCACTAAGGAAACATGCGAGTGAGTGTACTCGAGAGTGCGATTAACTGCTGACATGAGCATTAAGCTGATGGTGGCATGAGTTGTTTGAGTCGCTGGGAACGGTACTTCTGCATTTTTGAAGTCGATAAAAATGATCGTCTTGACCAATAATATGGCAAAGAAACCATGATGCACTCTGATTGGTTAATAATTAGAAGTAAGGCCTGCCACCTTACGAATTCCACAAACAAGTCAATTTAAGAACACTTTTTCCGAGAGCACTTTCGATAAACTGAATACTAGAAGTATCTGTCTGTTGTGTGTTTGCAGTACAATACAATACAGTTGTACTGTACGTATAGTAGTTAGGATTCCCCTGTGGGATTGCTTTACTAACAATACTGTACCTTCAAGTTAAATTCCCCTTGTCAAGTGCTCCATCATTCCATCATTTTGTAATCGTACCAGTTGCAATTTTACCGATTCGACATGGGGTTGTGTTGGACGTTTGTGGCGCTGACCTGTCTGGGCCTTTGTGTCACTGGACAGCACACGACGGCCACCTCCGCCGCCCACCGCATCCACGCCCTGCCTGGCTACAGCCCCCCCACCGACTTTGACCAGTTCGCAGGCCACTTGTCCCTGCCCAGCTCCAACCACTCGAACCAGTTATTTTACTGGCTTGTGGAAAAATCTTCCAACGCCACAGCCAACCAAAGGGATACATCGCCCCTGGTGCTATGGTTGAATGGGGGGCCTGGATGTTCGTCCCTCACTGGCCTCTTCACCGAGCTCGGCCCGTTCGTCGTCCAGCCAGACTTGACCTTGCTTCGCAACCCGTACGCCTGGAACCGACACATGAACATCCTGTTCGTCGAGTCGCCTTTGGGGGTCGGGTTCAGTGCCCCAAGAGTGTCGTCCTCGGCCGACTACAACGACAAATTCAAAGCGGCTCGGCTCACGGAATTCCTCGTCGAGTTTATCCAAGCGTACCCTTGGTACGCTGGTCGAGATTTGTACGTGACCGGGGAAAGCTACGCGGGTATGTACATCCCCCACTTGGTGGAGCAACTACTGGACCACCAGAGGAGACATGCCAACGACAGCCAGGAGGACGACTTTGTCCAGTTGAAGGGTTTTGCAATTGGCAACCCCATCACCGACCACGTGATAGACAACACTGCGTTCTTGGAGTACTACTACACCCACGGCATGATCTCGATCGAAGCGTACGCCCAAGTCCGCCAAGCGTGCAACTCGACAGCCTTGCTAGCGCAGTATTCTGGCATCTGGGCCACATACAACCTGTCCAAGCATCCTTGTGCGGTGGCTGTGAACGCGGCCATGACGGAGGCAGACACGACACATTTGAACCGTACGATATTTACGCCGACGTGTGCGTAGAGTCGCAGCTGTCGACTGCACCACACCAACGTCATCCAGTCCGTCGCCCGAGCGTTCATCGGGGGGCCACGGGGGGGCCTTGTGTGGACAAGTACACCCAAGCGTACCTCGGCCAACGGTCCGTCCAAGTGGCGATTCACGTGCTTTCCGACAACGCCGATACCTTTCCGTGGCGGTCGTGCCAAGACGACATCACCGACGACTTGTACCAGCGCACGATGTCGGTACTGCCGCTCTACCCCAAGCTGTTGGAACACCAGCAGCAGCTCCGCGTGCTCATTTACAGCGGCGATGCCGACTCAATGGTCAACTTTATGGGCACCCAGCGGTGGATTTCTACTCGAGATGGCCTTGGCCTGACTGTGACGAACAAGTGGAAGGCCTGGTTTGGTCCAGACAAGCAATTGGCAGGGTACACACAAGCGTACGACAAGGGGCTAACGTACAGCACTGTCAAGGGGGCGGGGCACATGGTACCGGCTACGAGGCCGCTACATGCGCTGTACATGATCGAGTGCTTTGTGTTTGGACTAGAAGCGTGCCAACGCTTGACCTACCCCGTGGATAGCTTGGAGTACTTGACTGGCGATACCGCCACCTTTGTCAGCGATGACGAGGACGACGAAACGACCCCAACGACGAGTCTGATCCAGTGGTGGCACTATGTGACTTGGTATGCGGTCATACTGGTGGCCACAGTGTGTTGTATGGCTGGCATCAAGCGCAAGGCGGCGGCGGCGCAACCACGATATGCAGCGTTGAATAATGCTGGGATGGGCAAACATCCACAGTACGACAGTGCCACGTCATGACTATATCGTACTAGTATCAAGAGCTAACGTTAGTTAGTATTCGTGGTTCCATCAATATTGCCATCTTGCATGCAATGATCATTATTATTGTAAATCTCGTTGAAATATTTTTAAAAATATACTGTCCTCCACCCCGAAACCCCGAACATCTATAGAGGTCGGTCGTGCCGACTTATTTCTACTGCGTGTGTGTGTGGGGGGGGGGGGCGTTGCAAAGCACAGTCTGTCAACAATATCTAAAGAACGTAAAACAACGCATAACTTCCAGTGACGACGTCGACCTATATTAGTGTATGTGTGGTCCAATCAAGTGTCCTGCCTAGTTAGTAGTCGATGCAGATGCGTACAAGGGCTTGGCGTCGCCATTGAGGGCCGAGTACTTTGGTTTGTTGGCGAGTCGGTTCACGGCTACGACACCCGCCACCGTGCCGAGAGCCAGCACAGAGTACCACACAGCATACTGCCACGTAGTCACGCCAGACCCATCCTCCTCGACTTCGTCGTCGCCGTCGTCGGGCGTGTACACCACATTTTGACCCGTCAAGTACTCCAAGTTGTCTTGGGGGTAATCAACCCAACTGTTGCACTTGTCATGTCCATACACAAAGCACTCAAACATGTACAGCGCATGCAGCGGCCGCACCGCCGGCACCATGTGGCCCGCGCCTTTGACGGTCGTAAAGTTGAGGCCGGCGTAGCCTTCCGTGTAGCCCGCCACTTGGTTATCAGGGCCAAACCAGGCCTTCCACTTGGTTTGAACCGTGAGGTTGAGCCCTTCCGTGGTGATCCAGCGCTGGGTCCCGATGAAGTTAACGATCGCGTCGGCATCCCCGCTGTAAATAAGCGCCTTCAATCCCTTGGACAAGATCGTCGGGTACAGGTGCAGCGATGACTTGCTGCGGTTGTATTGGAGGTTGGCACTCCCAGCGCAGTTCTTCCAGTCGACGTGGGGACCGGCAACGTGAATGGCGGCTTGCACTGCCGGTTGCCGGAGGTAGCTCTGCGTGAACTGGTCCGTGCATGGGCCAATGTTGCCGCGATGCATCGGTCGAACGTTCTTATACTGCAGGGCGTTGCCCTGGTCGTTCTGCAGCAAGCACACGTCGCCGTAGATGTAGTACGGATTCAGCGACCCAGAGTCCGCCTCGTCCATGGCAGCGTGCACGGCTTTGGCGCAGGGAGTGTCTGCCGAGTCGTCGGAGAACACGCCGGCGTACGCGGCCAGCCCCGACTTGTTGCAAGTAGACTGGATAGTTGCATACTCTTCAATCGAGATTAACCCGTGCGTGTAGTAGTAGTCCAAGTACGCAGCGTTGTCGATGGCTTCGTCCGTGTAGGGGTTGCCAATCGCAAACCCCTTCAAGTTGATGCCACTCACGGGGGTACTGACCAAGTTGTGGACAAGGAACGGAATGTACATGCCGCCGTAGCTCTCGCCCGTGATGTAAAAGTCTCGGCCGTGCAACGACGGGTACGCTGCGAGAAACTGCTCGAGGAACTCCCGCGCGCGGGCACTGGTGAAGTCGTCGTTGTAGTCGGTCGCGTTCAGGAACGGCTGGCTAAAGCCCACACCCGCGGGGCTCTCTAGGAACACCATGTTGGTCTTGCGGTTCCACGCGTACTTGTTGCGCTTGACTGACAAGTCCCGCTCGACGACAAAAGGGCCGAGCTCGGTGAAGAATCCGCCGAGGGACGAGCAGCCAGGGCCGCCATTGAGCCACAACACAATCGGATCGGTGGACGGATTCGACTGAGACTCGACGTACCAGTAAAACATCTCTTGGCCGTTGCTTGGCAGCGCGAGTCGGCCGGCGTACTGGTTAAAGTCGATCGGCGTCTTGTCGTTGTACCCAGGAAGGTCTGTGATCTTGTGCGCGTCTTGGATGGAAGGGTTGGCCGCGATGACGACGATGGACGCGAGTGCGCCGACGAGGTGCGCGAGCCGGAACACCATGGGGATCTATCTCTGTGTGACGTGAAGGAAGGCAATGCAAAAGTGGAGGAAGTGTAGTAGTAGGTGGGTGGGTGGTCAGTGTCTCGTTCGGTGGCGCAGATCGGAACGACGAAGATGGGAAAGTACCCAATGAGACGGCGGAAAAATCGAAGTTGGCACCAGAGTCGGAAGATCGCATGGCGGGTCGCTAGACAGGCGGCAAGTACCTTCCTCGGGCTTCCACGTCACGAACAAGTGCAACCTGCATCGAGATGGACGACGGACGGGGGCAAAGTGCATGATGCTTGGATTCGAGCTAGGAAACTTGAGGTGAACGAGTATGTATCTCAACAGTACACTGTAAATACTCTACTGTATACGTGGAGGAGGAGGATGCTCGGGGTGTATCCATATTCGTGGCCCATATGATTTGTCAATGACTAATTCCCTGAGAGCAACAGTGTCACTGTGCTTACGTAATCATTTCACTTGGTCTTATGATGTGGTACTGGTAGTCAAATGCAATGTAAGACACAGCAACAACACATCTCCGATAGGGGATACAGTGTAAATGTTAAGTGCATTTCAGTGGTGATTACAGTAGTGATATCTAACACCACTGAGATGCAACTTTTCGCAACTTATCCCGGGGGAAGACGACAAGGTTCCGTGGTTTCAGGCTACTATGCCAGGAAATGATTAACGTTAAGTTACTCAAACAGGGTTAACAATATAGTAGTACTCAATTCGGATTAATCAAGGCAAAGTTGAAGTTCACTGTAGATCCAGTGGATGATTGCCAGTCCGAGGGGACTCGACTGGCTGCACTTGCTTCGAATGATGCGTCGAAGTCGTCAGTTCTTCAGCTGTTGCCACCCACCCAACACAAAATGTGTTGCCATTGTCAAGAGGATGAGGGCCTCACTTTTGAACTCGCCATACATGCCGTCGTTCTTGTGGGCTGCGCTGGCCGCGCTAATCGTCGCCGCTGACCCCGTGGCTGGGTACGTGGCCGAGCACAAGATCACGTCGCTGCCCAACTACAACGACGACAAACCCATCAACTTTGACCAGTACGCCGGCCACTTGGCGCTGCCGTCCACGGGCCAGCGCATGTTTTACTGGCTCGTCGAAGCAGAAACCAACCCCGACACCGCTCCCATCGCGCTCTGGCTCAACGGCGGGCCCGGCTGCTCGTCGCTCGTGGGATTCTTTACCGAAAACGGCCCTTTCGTCGTTGCGTCCGACTTGTCCGTCAAGCGAAATCCGTACGCATGGAATCGGCACATGAACATGGTGTACCTGGACTCGCCCGCCGGCGTCGGCTTCAGCAAGCCGCTGCTGAACGCGTCCGACTACAACAACGACGTAACGACCGCGCGGATCTTTGAGTTCCTCGGAGTGTTCTTCGATGCGTACCCGACGTACCAGAAGCGGCCGTTCTACGTCACGGGCGAGAGCTACAATGGCATGTACATCCCGTACTTGGTGCATCAGATGGTGGCAAAGCCCAAGCCTACGATCAACCTGGCAGGGTTTGCTATTGGCAACGCCTACACTGACACCCATATCGACGGCAAGGCGTACTACGACTGGATCTATAGCCACGCACTCATCTCTTTGGACACGTACACTGCATTGAAAACCCATTGCCATGACGACATCAGCGAATGCTCTGACGGCACGAAGCAGTGCTCCCCAGAATGTCACGCCGCGCTGCATGAGTCCAGGGTTTCTTCCGACATTGGCCACTTGAATGAGTACTACATCTACGGTGACGTGTGCTTGCTCAACTCGACCAAGCAAACCCAATCCTTTACCTACCACCGCGTCCGCCCCAGCGTCCGCGGCAACATTGGGCCGTGCGCCGACGTCTTCACGCAGGCGTACCTTCGCCTACCCCAAGTCCAGCAAGCCGTGCATGTGACCGACGGCCTCGTAGCATGGATCGAATGCAACGACGACGTGTCCCGCGTGTTCACGGGGTCGGCGTCGGCGCTCGACAAGTACCCGCTGATCCTGTCCAAGGGACTCAAGGTGCTCATCTACAGCGGGGACGCCGACTCCAACACTAACTTTATCGGGTCCGAGCGGTGGCTCACGTCCGAGGGGCTGCAGTTGCCAGTTGTATCCAAGTGGAAGTCGTGGTTTGGCCCTGACAAACAGCTCGCGGGGTACACACAGGGGTACCAGGGTCTGAACTACTCGACGGTCAAGGGTGCGGGGCACATGGTGCCGGCTACTCGACCCCTGCACGGGTTGTACTTGATCGAGTGTTTTATCCACGGCCAAGACGTGTGTGACAAGGAGCTGCAGTACCCCGTAGACCGACTCGAGTACGTAAGTGGGCTCGTGACCAGCGTCGAGAGCCAGCATGTGACACCGGCCGAGTGGCTGGCACTGGTGCTGCCGCTCGTGGTGGCGGTGGGTGCTGTGACGTGGTATGCGTGGTGGAAGCGCGTGCTGGTGTTGGGCAAGAAAACGCTACCTTCGACCAAAGGCAGCATTAACTAAGGCATTAAGTACACTATCATCAGGTACTGTAGGTGGTTGGTAATTGACAGTGAATGGCTGGCTGGCTGCATCGACAGTACTTTGCGATTCTGCTCAAACATACTCTGGAGTACTAGTATTCGTGAGAGCTATTGGCCAAAGTTACAAGTATTCGTGAGAGCTATTGGCCAAAGTTACAAGTTCAGGCGTATGTACTCAACGCTTGTACGTACACTACTTCGCGAAGTATTATACCTATTGGGTAGACTGCGACACTGTGGCATACATACTGTAGTACTATTAATAGAACATAGTGAATTACTGTAATAGCAATGCTCTGGTAGTGTGTATGATTACAGTTTTGTGTACTCCTTGGTGCGGCGGTCCTGTAGCTTCTTGGCGAGGACGATAATGGCAATCCCAGCAAACACGACAAGCATCCCGTACAAACTCCAGTTGAGAACCACGTCGTCGCGTGGTCCAGTATTGGACGCGCTTCCGCTGTCGTCGATGTAGGCAACGTCGTCTCCAGTCAGATACTCCACATTATCTTTGGGGTACATCCATGTGTCACAGGTCGATTGGCCAAACACAAAGCACTCAAACATGTACAGCGCATGCAGCGGTTTCGTGGCTGGAACCATGTGGCCCGCCCCTTTTACCGTCTTAAACGTGAGTCCGCCGGCATACTCCTCCGAATACCCCGCGAGCTGCTTGTCCGGGCCAAACCACGCCCGCCATTGGCTAGTCACATTCAAGCGGAGTCCTCTCGAAGAAATCCATCGCTGGGTGCCCATAAAGTTGACCACCATGTCCGCATCGCCGCTGTAAATCAGGGCTTTGATTCCAGCAGCTAAGATCGCAGGGTACAACTCCATGGACGACGCGCTCTTCTGGTAAAGTTCTTCTACGGGGTCGCTGCAGCTCGACCACTCGATGACGTCAGCATTGGCCAAATGTAGCGCTTGCTGGACGAGTGGCTGGCGCAAGTAAGCTACGGTGAATGTATCGGCACACGGCGTCATCACTACACGACTATGTGTAGAGGGGAAGTTCCGGTACTTGTAAGGATACGCTTGGGAGTTGTTGAGCAGACACACGTCGCCATAGATGTAATATCGATTCAACGCTGGCTCGTCGATGGATAGAATTCCATCTTGGAGGGCTGCTTCGCATGCTGCCGAGCAGTTGGCACTGGACACGACGCATCGGCCAACGTTGTCCCCACAAGCCGCACCGACAGCCATGTAATTCTCCAGCGAAATCAGCCCGTGGGTGTAGTAGTAGTCCACGTACGAGTTGTGGTCAATCTCGTAGTTGGTGGAAGGGTTGCCAATGAGAAACCCAGCCAAGTGGACCTTCGGCAGCGGCGACGCGAGCAACTTGGTGATGAGGAACGGAATGTACCGACCCGCATAGCTTTCCCCGGCAATGTAGAACGGCCGGTATTGAAACGACGGGTACGCATCGAAGAACACGCGGAGGAACTCGTGGGTGTTGGCGGCCGTCGTGTGGTCGTTGTAGTCGGACGAGGTTAACAGGGGCTGGCTAAACCCGACGCCAGCCGGAGCCTCGAGGAAGACCATGTTCGCGTGACGGTTCCACGCGTACTTGTTGCGCTTGACGGTCAAGTCAGACTGGACGACAAACGGACCCAGTTCCGTGAAGAACCCACCGAGGGACGAGCAGCCAGGTCCCCCGTTCAGCCACAACACAATCGGGTCGGTTGCCGGGTCATCCTGCGATTCCACGAGCCAATAGAACAGCTCTTGACCCGAGCTCGGTAGCGGTAGGCGACCGGCATAGTGCTTAAAGTCGATGGGCGTCGAGTCGTTGTAGCCGGGAAGGTCGTGGATTTGGTGGTCAGGTGAACCTGGCGCCACACCCGCGGCTACGTAAGATGCCACTAGCCCAAGGCTGAATATAGCTCTGTAGAGGGGCATGCTGGAGGCCATCTTGAAATGGCAACGAAACTGGAGCTGTGCACTGCGTGCCCGTTGGTGAAAGATCGCAACGCACCAAGTTTACGTTATACTCACTGGGAATTAAACTGTTATGCGTTTTAGGTGTAAAACGCCGATCTTTCCGATCTTCAACCACACAGTGGGACGTTTTTGTCGTGGGTGAAACATGCAATGCGGATAGCATTCAAGCATTAATGAGCTTGAATTATAAAACGTTACACCACAGGCCTTTGGCTCGTCTGAATGCACATACATTCGGGTGGTCCCCCTGTTTGTAGCAATCGCATGACATGGTGTAGATTGCGTTTTTAGTTCACGAACTTAGTATTTGTGGACTTCAAGTTGATAAAAACGTTTCTTCAATGGATATAAACGCACACGTTTAACTTGCTGTGACGCCAGTGGATGGATTTCTGAGTATCCAAGTGACCAATCAAGGACGTCCCCTGGTGTGGTTGCTTCGTCAATGGCACTTCCGACTTCACCAGGTCACTCAAGCGCGATGCAGCTCATCATCAAGGCCGCCACCGCCGCGCTCTGTGCGATGATGTTGGCGACCATGGCCAGTGCTGCCAACGAAACGCTTACGGCGCACAAGATCGAGTCCCTGCCTGGGTACAACGACGACAAACCCATCAACTTTGACCAGTACGCAGGGTACTTGGTGCTGCCGAGCACGGGCCAAAAGATGTTTTACTGGTTTGTCGAGTCGGAATCGAACCCACAGCTCGACCCAGTGGTGTTGTGGCTCAACGGTGGCCCTGGTTGCTCGTCTCTCGGCGGGTTCTTCACCGAGCTCGGGCCATTCGTCGTCGAGAGCGACCTCAGCGTCAAGCGCAACCCGTATGCGTGGAACCGCAAGGCGAACATGCTGTTCCTGGAGAGCCCCGCCGGCGTCGGCTTCTCGTCGCCGCTTCTGAACGAGACCGACTACAACGACGTGACCACGGCCGCGCGCGCGCACGAGTTCCTCGAGCTCTGGTTTGCATCGTACTCGTCGTTCAAGAACCGGCACTTCTACGTCACGGGCGAAAGCTACGCTGGGCAGTACATTCCGTACCTGGTGCACAAGCTGATCAAGGAACCCCTCGACGGTGTCTCGCTCGTGGGCTTGGCCATCGGCAACCCCGTCACAGACGACACCATCGACGGCAACGCGTACATGGACTACTACTACTCGCACGGGATGATCTCGCTGGAAACGTACGAAGACATGACGGCCAAGTGCAAGGACCAGATTGGCGTCTACGCCGGCCTGTACGCGTCCTCTCCGTGCCTCCGCGACCCCAACGTGACCTGCTCCAACCCGTGCGAGGCCGCCGTCCGCGAGGCCATCATCTCTGCCGACCCTGACGACCAGGACCCGTACTACATCTACGGCGACATCTGCCTCATCGAGAACGACCAGATCGGCGCCTTGCAGTACCGCGAGTCTGCCGCGCTGCCGCGCCGCCCGCATACGCCATGCGCGGCCGAGTTCACGACGGCGTACCTTAACCTACCGGCAGTCCGGGATGCCATCCACGTGCATGCGACGGTGCCGGCGGCGTGGGGCAACTGCAACGACGCCGTGAGTCGGTCTTACCACCGCAGCACGTCCAGCTTGCCGCTGTATCCAGATATTCTCGCCACTGACCTCAAGACACTCATCTTTAGCGGAGACGCCGATTCGATTGTTAACTTTATCGGGACAGAACGCTGGCTTGGCGCGCAAGGGTTGCGCCTAAAAGTGGTCGACAAGTGGCAGGCCTGGTTTGGCCCTGACAAGCAGCTGGCTGGGTACACCCAAAAGTACGACGGGCTCACGTTTTCAACGGTCAAAGGCGCTGGCCACCTCGTCCCGGCCACGAAACCGCTGCACGGGCTGTACCTGTTTGAGTGCTTTTTGTATGGCAAGGAGCTGTGTGCAGCCTTTGACTACCCCACCGACAACTTGGAGTACCTCAGTGGAATCGTCACGAGTTCTGGAAACGACAAGAGTGACGTGGCAGCATCGGGACAGCCCAATGGAGCGTGGGCGGTGGCGTTCGTGGCACTCGGCGTGGGCTTGACCGTCTTGGGCAGCATCGGATACAAACGCTTTGTGAACCGGGGGCGTCAAGGTGAAGCGTACTCGACCTTGAACAAGCAACCAGTCCCGACCTACTCGGACTAAGCAACCTGGAATGGATTGAGTTGCATGTGTACTACATTCATTCATCTATGTTCGCCAACTACTACTACACCTTTTTTCTATTGACTTGGGACTTTTTTCAACGTTCTTGGCTTGGCGCTCATTCGAAAGGGCGATGTGTCCATTCATTTGGCCTTGTGGCCAATAGAATTGACACTTAGTGCCGCAACACCCTTTGAAATGTACCATACTACCAATGGAAAAGGCTCCATTACCCAGCAATGTCCCAAGTAGCATTTCGAATCTGCCGTGAGTTGTATCGAATATTCTAGAAGGTTGCAGTTGGGCGATCTTTTTTTCACTTTTCAAAATCGCATTCCGTGCAACAATGGAGAACGCTGCACCACAGACACGAGTACGACGTCGTCGCTCACCCCCTCGTCTGGAGTACTTCTACGGTCGTGCGGACCGAATGGAAGTAGGCATGTAGCTGTTTGCTGCAAGTTTCGATGATTTTATCTGCTTTTTTCATGCCGTCGCGTATTTGATAATATAATGTTATATTCGATCCAACTCCACTTCAAGAACGGCAGATTCGAAATGCTACTTGGGACATTGTTGGGTAGTGGAGCCTTTTCCATTGGTAGCATGGAAGTACATTTCAAAGGGTGTTGCGGCACTAAGTGTCAATTCTATTGGCCACAAGGCCAAATGAATGGACACATCGCCCTTTCGAATGAGCGCCAATCCAAGAACGTTGAAAAAAGTCCTAAGTCAATAGAAAAAAGGTGTAGTATAGCTTATTGTGCTTTCGAGTGAAATTTCGTGTTGTGGCGTGGTTTCTCGTTGGAATTTAAATCGATTTGATTGGCTACCTCAGATGAGCTCAAAATTATTAGCCAATCAAAACCTTCTAAAAGAAATTCAACCAATCAGATCGATTGTGGATCGGTTTGGTCGGCGCGATTCGATTGCACCCCCTCCCCAAATTTGTATCAAATCGACAATACTACTAGTACTAATAATACGAAGCACTGCCGGTAGTAAGTTATTAACGAGGCATGGGGAACGAATTCAACTTGTGCATTGATTGGCCTTGTGGCTAATAAGCCAAAAGCCATGGAAAGGTCCAAATCGAGTTCTAGCCCGGTTTGATTGGGTAATTTCTGAAACCACCATTTTGAATCAACCAATCGTTGGCAAGAATGGTAGAAGTGGAGTTTGGCGATGTTGAAAAGGTGCTGTAGACGCCAGAATGGGCAGTCAAGAATGGCGGCCAACTCGATTGCGGAAGTTGTATGTAGGGTTGCCGATAATCTCATGACATACAGCCAAGTGAAAATTCAATTTACAAGGCGTCAACAAGGGGGTGAAAGCGAGGTTGGTCCTGTCCCCGTCGGCTTGTCGTCTAACACAATAACATTCGCATACCGCATGTGATTTGGTGGAGAAGTAAGTGGTGACAATTGAGTTCATAGTTCTAAAATTGGCCAACGGAATTGCACGATTCGACAATTATATATACTTTTCATTCTATTTTTGGCCAATCGCGTCAAATTCGGAATTCACGACAATACAAGATGTAGGATCACAAGCACACAGCTAAGTGCAAACTGTCCATATCCAATTTAGTTCCTCGTAGTATTGGTCAATTTTAAACATCATATAGCCGCGCCGCTAGGCAAGTGAAAGCGAAACTATGCATGAAACCAGCACCGCGTGCAATTTTGGTAACATAATACACAATGGCGCGGCTAGGTCTACACAAATTTAATCCGGCCCGTTATGCGACGAGGGTCCAACTGGCACTTCGAATCCTGTCACTTCCTAACCACTGTCGTCTTCCTTGCCCTCATGACGCAAAGCTGCTGGCTGTTCTTTTCTCTTTTCCCCCTCTGGTTGACTTCGACCGTAGTTGCTTTGCAGCGTCTACGACCCCCTAACACCCACCAAATCCACGACCTTCCCGGCTACAACGACTCGACGCCCATCGACTTTAAGCACTATGCCGGTCGCCTACCGCTACCGAGCTCGGGTCAAGAGCTGTTCTATTGGCTCGTGGAATCGCAGGATGACCCGGCAACCGACCCGATTGTGTTGTGGCTGAACGGGGGACCTGGCTGCTCGTCCCTCGGTGGGTTCTTCACGGAACTGGGTCCGTTTGTCGTCCAGTCTGACTTGACCGTCAAGCGCAACAAGTACGCGTGGAACCGTCACGCGAACATGGTCTTCCTCGAGGCTCCGGCTGGC